ATTTGGTAGTACTTACAAAAAAGAACACATTGAAAATATTCGTCACTGTCACTCTATTGAAACAGAAAAGTAAACATGATACTGAAATATAGTATGTAATATGCGACATTCATTATCATAAGGCTTACTTTAGGTAAGTTGAAAGAAAGAAAAAAAAAAAAAAAATAATAATTTTTATCGCCTCTACAAATTAAAATTCAATTTCCAGGGGGAATGAAATCTTACATCTCTTTCTAGTCTATCTTTCTATCTCCATATGAAAAACTATATTAATATAACTAACTCTTCGTTCCGATACGAAAGGAGGACAAACGAACCCTTTCACATTTTATAATATCAGTGTGGATGTTGGCTCCATTCATGCCTTACCGACGCGCCAGTTCATAGAATTTCGTAAAGTGGTATGAGGGTGGGGTTACGCGTTGGGATGGGTCTCCCCCCGTTTATGAATGAGGCCGTACGTCATTGATATCGATCCAGCCGCGCCACCACACAAGGACAATGTTAGCGGTCGATCAACAGGTGGCTGGTGCCACCTGACTGACGCACAACCGTATGCTTTTCTATTCACAAACTAATTTCTGTCACTTATGTGTGACGTCATAAATGATTAGCAGTGCCGTATCATTTAAGTTATGCCTTCACCTCGATAAACACGTTATTTATAACACAAAATGGGTATCAGTTTAAACTGAAACAAATATTTTGCATCTAGTGAAATAAATGAAGGGTCATTGTATAGGGGAAATCAGGGAGATTTCATCAGGAGACATACTTCATAAATCTGTTTAAATTCGCTCTTTCGGGTTTTTGCTGTCAGGTCGTTAGTTACGTATGTAAACGTGGTGGTCCAAACAAGACATTTCATATACCTATAATTAAAAGTTGTCAGTGTAGGTTTATTATTGTATAAAACTTACATGTAGTGGTAAAAACAAAGCTTTACTGTGTTTCAGACATTATGTGAGAAAAAAAATAGAACACACAAGAAACTGAAAGCAATTTAAACGGATTTATTTATAACGACCATGTCTCCTGCCTGATCAAATCTCCCCCTAATTAAATTACGAGTAGATTAGTATAACTTTTAAAACTTACTTGGAAGATAATCAAATTAATTTATATTTTCATTCATCGAACATAAAGATAACAACAAACATAACACACAACGTTATCAACCGAAGGCGGGTCTTGATAACTACTAAATTTGCTAGATGTAAACTCATTTGAATATTCAAATGATTTTTGTCTACCACCCATGCAGGATTTCTCTCGTCTGTGGAGAAGGGTAGACCGGTCGATAATAGGGCTGATATAGACAAAATTAATGTTGTACGAACATATTGAACTCGTTTTTGATATATATTAATCAGGTGATCAGTATGGTATTAACCATACTGATCACTGCTTATTTTTATATGCCGTGATATTTTTTTATTGTGTACTCAATAGATTTCTCCCACAGACTCTTTCTGCTAGCGCTGACTACATAAGTTTCCAGAACAGAATTTGTATATATTTATTTATGTCATAATATAATTATTTAATATCATCAAAAACTTCTTATCGCTACAAACGAAATAATAATCGAACATAATGCAAATACACCATTAAATATACTTAAAACTGGTATCTATTCTGCCTAGCTGAAGTTTTACACGCTCTATTACTAGATTATAATTATGAATCTGACAGCAATGGTCTACATTGATTCTTGAATTAAAGAATGAAAGCGGGATAGTAGTAGTGCGTGCGTCACACCGATAATTCAAGGGGGTGGAGGTGTGCTGCCGGTGACGTCAGCGCTCCCCCTATTCTATGGAAACTCCCTGAGAGCACTGGGAAATTTATGAACATTCAGTTTTGAGTACTAACAATCTTAAAAATTCAAAGCGATTTAAATAAAACTACGTTTCTTACGTTTTACTTAAACTTTTAAAGCTTTGCTTTTACCACTACATGTAAGTTTTATACAATAATGAACCATCACCGACAACTTTTAATGATAGGTATATGAAATGTCTTGTTTGCACCACCACGTTTACATACGTAAAAGCGATTACGTTAGTACTCTGATTACACAGAATCTATTAATGAAAAATGTTATCGCTTTTCGCTGGTTACCGACGTCAGCGATGACTGATGATTCCGCTCGATGGAGCTTTCGAGTAGTCTCGTCAGCGTAATAATAAACGTGACAGCGGTGTGACGCGCCCGTGGTGCGTGTGCCAACGCATTACTGCGAGATGAGCGCGAGCTATTTCGCGCTGCCGAGTGCCGAGCGCTGTGCACACGCGTCATCGAACGTTGTTTAATTTTGAATTTTTGACACTTCGGTAACGGTCATCGATTTATGTCGATTATTTTTTTTCTTAGCTTTCTTTATTTCAAATGATTCGCGCGCCTGTTTCAAGGTGTCGCCATCTCTAAGGTCCCTTTTTTATATTGTTTCTCATCTGGTTGCTGCGGTACCTTTACTGTCTCAGATGCTCTATATATGAGATGATTAGCGTCAGGTTAGAATCTGAGCAATTTATGTGTTGTTGTCTATTTTGCTTTTATTGGTAATAATAAGACAATATTCTTAGAAATTGTCTTCGTGCTTTCCATAATTCGGACTTCAAAAACAAACGGATTATGAAAAAAGCTTTTTAACCTGGGCCTATTTTAGAAGCATCTAATTTTCCTTTTACATAATAATTCGACCTTGAATTGGCTGATGAGTTTGGAGTATTACCTTTATCTTAACGGATAATAGAATGCTCAGATCGTCCCAGAAACTGCTTTTTCTCATGAAAAAACTTATGCCTCGTGTTTATTTATGATATTATTTTTATCTATTATACCAAATGGTTTCAATAACTTTCGAACTAAGTAACTTAGGATTATGTTTAAATCTATAATTCTATTATTCTAATACTACTTTCATTCTCCCTCACTTTTTTAGTGTTGTATATTCTACTGAATGTATCTAAACTACGCGACAAATACTCTATGTGAATTATAATCCTGACATGGTTTATTTTTTTTTAATCAACGTTTGCAAAGTCGACGAAACCACAAGGAGTGTTTCTAAAGCAATCGCAGTGGTCGATGTCATATTATTTATTTTTACTAAGAGCATTGGTAAAGCATTCAAAAATTTAAAATAAATTGGATAAACTATTTCAATTATTGTGATATGTAAATAATTTAACTTTAAACTAGCTTTGGTTACTTCCAACTTGAACTTTTCAAAAATCTTTCAAAGATAGTGTGCCAAATTTCAGCTCCAGTAATTTCAGCTGTGCATTAATAGATCTAACAGTCACTCATTATTGCTTTTTTATATATAGATGCAGATTAAAGTAATCTCAATTTAAAGTTCCTTCATAATAAACTTTCATTTGAACACACAAAAGAGTTTTCGAGCATCATCCAAATCCTACGGTAATTTTAATGTCATAAGATGAGTCATGAGTAAGATGATTAGAAACTATAATGGTCTTCGCTAATGATAGATAGCGCAACACATGATGTTTGCGGAGTACAGTGACACCGTCACCTAAATTGCATTTGTGATACAACCACTTATTATTAGACGACCATTAGTATGCAAGTGCCAAATCAGAATATAAGAGCTGAATCGTCTTCTAAATGTATGAAATCCTAAGTACCTATAAAACGTCGGCTGACAACTCGGTACCGTGGGAAGTAATGTAGAGTCGTAACAAGAACGGACTATAGTCACAACAAACGTGTTTGAACAAATACTACGATGACACTCACTGTGACATACCGTGACACTTCACCTGACACGAGAAGCGCTGAGAATATTTTGTCTAAACACGATTCACTACCGGGGGCAATGGATACTTAGTCTGATTAGCAACTTCTTTTTCACTCGACAAAGTAGAATACGCTCTTTTCTACTATTGTTAAATACAAAGTAAGCATTTTTATTTTCAATGTTATTACCTTACTTCGTGCATAGCTCAAAACCAATTTTATTCGCAAAATGCAATTTTTTTGAAAACTAAATACCTACCGTTATTACACATGCCGACTAATTTAGATTTGTTTACTACTTAAATTTTTACATCAGGAATAATTTCAGAGCTACGGAATAGACGTGATCGAAATAGACAACGGTTACTGAGGTAACGTGTCGAAATAGAACCCCGCCTCCGAACTCCGAACCAAAATCAGCAAAGTTAATTATAGAAACGTTCCGCAGGGACGTTTCGAACCCATGATTCACCTGCTGAAAACTCGATTGTTCGCATTTTACGTCAATCGGTTGCGTGGTGTTTACGATCGTGCCGGCGGCGGGAGCGTCAGCTGACGGCCAGGAATAGCCCTGACATCGCGGCCACGCTATGCCGGCTGCGCCCGCGCATTCACAAATAGCACGCTATAATTAGATCGCGGTGAAATCGTGGGTTTGTTATTTTTCTTTATCGTCTCCGTTACGCGATAATTGGGTTAGCCGCTGCATGTGGGCCCGGGCGTCGGCGTGTCTCGGCCGACCGCTCCGGACGTTGTCCTGCCGCCTGCACCTTGCGTGCCTCCTTACCACGTGCTCGTATTTGTAAACCACAAGTAGAACCGCCCCCTCATCTCATCAAACTGTACCTCTACTACTACCTAACCACTTGTCAATTATGCAACGTATTGAATTATGTACGAACATTATTTTGATCTGTAGAGTCTAATGTAATTACTCGATCTCAATCCATTTTGAAGTTCTTAGTTTTTATTTTTGCAGCTGCGGCAGCGGTTTTTAGTAGTGCCAGATTCAAAGGCTGTTGTATTAAAGAAAATTTATTCAAATTTCAATATAAATAACTATATGCACATAAACGGCATGTCGTTTCAAAATTCGGTGTTACCTGCATATAATTTTAAATGATTTCCACAAAATCTTTAGAAGCATCACTTTTTTGGTATAACTATATTATTTATAAGTATCAATGGTTTGCGTAAGTAATCTTCATTTGCAAAAATATCACATTGTGTACATGTACATTAGAAATAAAACTAAATATGGTAGTCCTGTAGTTCACGTGCTTGTTAGGTAAGTGTTGACATAGCTATAATTTTTTAAACAGGGGCCGCCAATCCCTCCCGTACCTTTTAGGATACAAGACGTCCGAATGCCCTAAATAATTTGGCAAGCTGACTCATATTTTTTTTGTTCTTTTACTTATTCAGAAAATTAGTAACTTGAACAGGAATTGCTCTCTCTTGCCTCTTAACTCTAATCATTCGAATAATACATATAGTCGTTCGTATTTAAAAAACTGCAAGTTTTTATTTTATATGATTTCTGCTTGTAAGAATTCATATAAATGGTGTATATAAAGTGAAAAGAAATCGAGACGTAATCCCTGGCCCACCAGCGAGACTCATAGTGAAAAAGAAATAGCGTTTTTAATTATAACTTATTTCGCTTTGAAAAACTATTGAAACTTAATGATTTCTAGTCTTAGTTTAAGTCTGTCTTCCAGTGGACTGAATGTATGCTATTCTTTTGTATTTTATTAGCAAGAAGTAGGAATTGCGTACACCAAACTACCCCATAAAACAGCTGATAACTAGGGAGAAGTGCCTTAACAATCTGTCTAAACTTGACATGTATTTTTCTGTTCAAGTTGTAATTCAGCAAGATAAATTATTGTAAAACTACTCACTTGTCTGAATCGACTTTTATTGCTGTATCTTTTATTATATATATATTTTTTTATATTTGATTTACTTCATTGATAAATTGGTTTGCCTGTATTAATATTAGTTTAAATTAATCTGTAATTGATTCTAGGCTTCATATTAATTTAAATATAAAATAAAATGAGGCATCCCAAGAGTTATCTTGGGCTTCCTTTGTTTTTGTATTGTAATTAGCTGTTATATAATCAAAGAATTCGTTGTGATTTATATAGTGGTCTAACGAATTACTAGTTTTCATTTATCTATAGAACTTATTATAAATCAATGACTTTTTTTTTATTTCCCAGTTCATACAAGTTTTTACGTATTGAGGTGATCCCAAAGAGTAATTATTATATAACTATAATAAAGTTTTATAAAGTATTATATAACCATAATAAAGTTTATATAACTATAATAAATAAAGTTTTAATAAAGTTAATCCCAAAGAGTAATTATTATATAACTATAATAATTACTCTTTGGGATCACCTCAATACCTACGTAAAAACTTGTATGAACTGGGAAATAAAAAAAGTCATTGATTTATAATAAGTTCTATAGATAAATGAAAACTAGTAATTCGTTAGACCACTATATAAATCACAACGAATTCTTTGATTATATAACAGCTAATTACAATACAAAAACAAAGGAAGAAGACAATGTCACTAAGAAACAGGATAAATCGCCAACTGCTAATTATATTACAAAACTATAAACAAAGAGACCTTTTCATCCAGTCGCCGTCATTTATACAGCCATACTGATGGAATATAACTGTGGTATGGATATTTTTCTAAAGCAAATGTCTGGTTTGTTTTGTAATAAAGGAGTCAATATGAGAGTCAATAAAACTTTAATACATAATCAATTTAACGTAGATCTTATTTTTTTTTGTTTTCATCGTTGTATTTCGTTGCAGTTATATAACAGACATATCTAAAATACAATTGGTTTTTAATATTATCAATGGTAATAAACAAAAGATGTTAATTATCTGTAATAATAATGTAATAAACGCCTTGACAAGTCAAACCATAATCGGAAGCTACAAACAATCCATTTACGCCTTTTATGACTGTCGTTTTTGTAATTAGTGGATATAAGTATTGTGGTGTTAATGAAGGGTATGACTTTATTGCAATTGAAAGTTATACATGCAATAAACCGCTAGCAGTTATATGGTGTCATATTTCGATCGTCTAAGTTTTAGTATTTACAACTGTTCAGTTGTAAAGGTTTAAGTTGTACCTTGATCTTATGTTTACGCCTACTCGTGACCTAAGCTAACCGATTTCTACTTATTTAATCTAATTCTGATTTCAACGTAGGTCACTTTAAGTTGTTGACCCCGGCTACATCTGCAATCATTAACACCCACCAATCCGCACTGGGTCCGCGTGGAGGTTCATAGCCCATTACCTATTCGATTTGATTAGATTCAATCCATTGGGAAAGGCCTGAACACCAACGGTGCTGGTGATGATGTGATGATGATTCCAGTTAAACACAAATAACTAATGATTTAAGTTGTCAATACTTTTTAACTTATGCAATGCAGGCAGAGGAACCGTAGATTCTTCTAGTTAATTGTACTCCAATCAAAAAAGTAACGCATTTAAATATGTTGCATTATTTGACTCGGAAATAATCATAAAAGAATGAATAATTTTATTTAGTTACAGTTAGTAAAAAAACAGGCCCCGATCTAGGGGGGGGGGGGATAGGGCACTTACTCCGGGCGCCCCACGGTCAGGGGGCGCCAAGATAATCATTCTTTAATTTACAGTTAAAACAAATAATGGCGCCATATAAAGTTTCTGCCCCGGTTAGAAAAATCATTGATAAAGAAAATTTGAGAAGAAAGATATAAAAAAAATAAAAAATATAGAAAATTTGTCTAGCATATGTAAACTATGTAGAATTAATCTTATGTGTACTGCACGAATTAGAAAATTTCAGACTACACGTAACATTAAAGTTACCATAAAAACTAATTTGTAAAAGCTCTATTTTAATAGAATATTACTGTACATCATAGAATTTTAATAGTTTCTGATACCAAAATTTACTATGGTAATTTTTACCATAGCAAATTTCATCACAAAGAGTTTTTCTCTTCGTGGTCCTCCAGTAAATCTCGACGCCTTCCCACGTTGTTGCTTTACTTCTGCAACAACCCCGTGTAACATATTTTTCGCTACTTTCAACCTATACACGCTCACATGGCTTGAAAAAAGCAGACGCAAACGCATATTAAAAATAATAAATATTTATTTAACTTTTTGTACCATTTGCAGCCGTGAGGGCGCAAAAAATAAATAATTAATTTAGGTGTTACATACAGGCTTAGCTTTGCCATTCTGTAAAAAAAAACAGCTTTAAACGCAAAATATGCACGACGCTGTCACAGAGTTTCAAATAAAACCGGCTATAAAGGGACACTTTAAGGTGTAATTTAGGAAAAAAACAGATCACTAAAAGCACAAATATTAAAATAATAGTCGTTGAATTGACATGATACTAAAGGTACTACTTGACCCTGAAATTTCTAAATAAATCAGAGATCACATAAAAACCTACATGAGCACTACGCTTGCTATGTATTATATGTAGTATTCCTCCATAGCCTTGGCCGGTTTTTTCTGCATTTATATATTTTGGTACTACCTAACTTTCTCCTATTTCTATTAATATCACCCGAAACAGTAGTTTTATAAAAGAATCAATTTCTTATCGATATGTATTTATCTAGCTTCTCGAAATTGTCCTATATTTAGAACTTCAAAACAAAGTCACGTGAAAGATTAAAATATTTTACACTTTTATCACTTAAATTAACCTTTAGCTTGACATAGTCAGGTCCTTCCGTATAGTTTTAAATTAAACTATATTTAAAAACTCATTTGTTTTATTTAGTAGGGAAATTTAATCACCATTAGATATAAATCTAAAGATCCACCAAATCATTCAAATGCACAATATCTGTTACTGTTTCGTGTACATACTTACATATATACTTAATTTCATCATGTTAAAGATATCGACGCTTTTTTATAAAAGAAATATTTTTACGATCTAGACCATAATAATTTATCTACTCGTACATGTTCATTTATCATCAATCTTACTTCAGAAACTGTAACATTCTAAACACGGGTGTTATTTGCCGGCCGGCCGGCGTGCAGCACGCGCTTGTTTGTTGAATGATCGTGGCGGGCGAGGAAGCGTGCCGGAGGCTTTAACGGCGGGTGGCGGGAGCAAGGCGGCGGGCGTCCGGGGGGGCGGCGCGGGCGGTGGGCGGGCCGGGCGGTGACGTCAGCGAAGGGGGGCAGAGTGCCGCGCGATTGGTGGAGATGCGCGCGCCGCTACCGAATATGGGACCGCGGCTCCATTGATAAAACTGCGGCGCGGGGTCGCGCGGCGCCAGTCCCCTTCGTACAGGCCGCGCGAGAGGCCGTTTTCACGCTGGCGTTGTTTGTGATACCGATCGGCCCTTGGGCCGAGGAGCAGGTCGTGCCGGACGGGATGGGCACGGACGCGGAGCCCCCGACCGGCCCGCACCTGCTCTCGCTCGCCGACGTCGGCACGCTAGGGTTTGACTGCTCTCTCAAGCCGGTGGCACCCGCGCTCACATCAGGTGGCACACCGACTGACCTCAACACTCCCGTCACCACATCGGACTTACCCGCCTTCTTCCCGAGTCTGCTGGAACCTCCTCCTATATCAGGTGCGCATCGCAACCATAGGACCTGGTATAGCTCACCTCGGTTGTCATGTCCAGATATACTCCGACGGGAATCGTAGGCGGAATTCGCCCCCGCCGGCTTTCGACCGATAACATTGTAAATAAACAATGGATCTTCTTGGATCACGTGTCCTTCGACGTCCTTCAGGGTTAATAGTGCCGCGACACTTCCATTTAGTATCAGTGTGGTTATTTCATAATTTACGAAGACATCGGGAATAATAAAATTAAACAGTGGTTGTTATGAAAGTGAAATTGAAAGTTCCTTCTACTTTATCTTCATTCATAAAGGCTTTTGAATATAGATTTTATCATTAGTGATTAGGACCTATCAATATGTAAGTACAAAATAATGAACTTAGTGATTATGCATTGAAAGTGATTTTACGATTGATTCAAAGGGGTAACTATGGTTTCAAAACAATTTTTACTTTTTTTTTACTCTAACTTAATTCAGAAACAAACCGTTGAATTTTATACCAAACAGCTCTATTTCAATTTTTATATCGTTTTAATGCGTTTCGATGTATTCTTACCTTTTAAGAGTTTATACAATTAGGTTTTTAGTATAATCGAAACAATATTTTTTTTCATTTATATATACTGTTCATTACCTTTTTTGTTGGTAACTAATTTTAATTTTTTTCTTACTTCAATTACCAAAAGTAAACTATACTACTTTAAAAAAAATTACCAATATATAAAAAATATTTCTGTGCTTCAACATAGATACATATAGCTTCAAGTAATAATATTCCTGTTATAACATAAAAAATAGAGTTTTAACTACCAAAAGCTATTATTCAATAACATTAGTAATATAAAAATTTTACATTTTAGGTATTCGTTTTAATAATACAGGAATAAAAATAATAATACAGGCTCGTCTTTAAATAGGTAGTATTTTTTTATATGCGGTCGGTGGCCACTTGTTCGGATATAATATATATGATAGAGCTATCGACATCCTGAGTGTTATCATCCGTGTCTTCCGCCTGCGCAACGCAAACAGATCATTAACCAGGAGCTCAATTCTGCTATTTTTTGCGTGATAGAGTCTCAACTAGTTACATTTTGCCGTTGTTCTCTCTACCTGAAGTCCAATATTATAACAACAATTAGCGTTCCTTACAAATTCAATGGTGACACATGTATTTATTATTTTTTGATGTAACGAGATCTGTTTTATAAAGGTTTATAGTTGACGCGCTATTGACTTTTCATAATTACGCAAATATGAGCAAAATTACCGTAAACTACTAAAATCAGATTTTACTATTAAATTACGGTTGTGACAAAATTTCTTCGTTAATTCAAGCTGTTACTTTTTTCAAATTCATTTAAATCAATTCTATGACAAAAAGATTCTATGTTTTTTTTTTTATAATAATGTGATGGAAACCTTTTTCCGTTTAATTAAACAAGAAAACATAAGTTTATTGTTATTGTCATGAGCTTTTACCATTTTATCGGTAAATTCTTGGCGACTAATAATCGCGCAACTGGACTTTGTTATCAGGAAAGGCAAGGCACCTTATAATTCTCAAAAAAGAATAAAGCTGCTCTGTTCCATATTCATACATATGATTTATTAGATAAGGTATTGATATGTTTCAATAAGAACTTTTAAAGGGAGATTTACCATGTTTGACGTAACAGAGAAAATCATACATCTATCTATTAAAAAAGTCGAAAATATACTAACGTTGCAAAAACTTTTCTTGACGTTCCTGCTCCTGTATCTATGATAAATTGTTAAAAAAATACAATACACGTATATTATAGAACATTTTTCAACTGGATAATCAAGGATGATTATTATATTATACAAACTATTATTAATTTTTCAATCATATTATTTATGATTATTGGCGCCCGACCAAACCAGCCGGTTAAACTTCTCTGGAGCTGATAAAACGGCCTTCTTTATTCATAACCGATGGAACACTTACACCCATTTTCACTAACCTACAACAAGGCATAGCCTATCTAGAAAACGACTTATAATACGAATCGCCTAAACAGATTAGTTTAATTCATATTTATATACACATATTTATTACCTGTCATATACGTAAATGCGTAGCACAAGGCGCCGCATTCCGAATACCATAACTTTAGACTGCTTAATTTCGTTAGGTGGTTCCTAGTAATTGGTGAAATGCATTTTTACCTTACACATACTAAGCCTTGAAAAAGGGCTTAGTATCTGATACTTTTTTTTATCCAATTTTACGTAGGTGCTGTAGTGTAGACATTGTTAAGAGCTCCATAATAAATACTTACGAACGAAGTGACCTGCTTCATTTGAATAAAATACTTCTAACATTCTCATCAGAAAATCTATAGCGGTGTTTTGTTTTGTTACAGGTACGCTACCTGGCGATGAACTATCACTAGGATGCTCGCCACGGCGGCACAAACACGAAGCGTCTCTGTCACCTGGCGCGCGAGCCGAGGATGCGAGTAATGCATCAAGCGCAAGCGCATCGCTTTACGGCCCCGTGGGCAACAAGCGTGCCCCTTCACCACCACTGCAATGGCTACTACCACCCGGACCCGGTCCCGGTGCCATGGACAAATATTTCCAACAGGAATACGAAGAGCGCGTTGATTTGCTACCGCCCGAATGCCAACCGTCGTACTGTACACAGCCGCAATCGTGTCCGCCGCCGCAACACTGCGAGTACCGCCCGCCACCACAACCCCAACCCCAACACTCGTGGGATACACAAGAGTATGCTCCACCTCCCCAGCCCACGCCTGGGCCCTCAGGGTTACCCAAGCGGGAACCGTATCCGAGTCCGGCCAGCGATCGTCCCGTTCAACTTGCCGAGTACAACCCCTCCACGAGCAAAGGCCACGAGATCCTCTCACAGGTCTACCAGCAGAGTACACAACCCCTAAGGCTAGTGGCGGTCAAACCGCGTAAATATCCTAATCGGCCAAGCAAGACGCCAGTGCACGAGCGCCCATATGCATGCCCGGTGGATAGCTGCGATCGCCGTTTCTCACGATCGGACGAATTAACGCGGCACATTCGTATCCACACGGGTCAGAAACCTTTTCAGTGCCGTATATGCATGCGATCATTTAGCAGATCAGACCACCTCACGACGCATGTGCGAACACACACAGGCGAGAAACCGTTCGCTTGCGATATCTGTGGCCGCAAATTTGCTCGTTCAGACGAAAAGAAGCGACACGCGAAAGTGCACCTGAAACAGCGGCTGAAACGCGAGCGAGGCGGCGGTGGCAGCACGCACCACCACGAGCCGCATGGTCTCTAGCGATCGCCAGTGCGCACGCCTGCGCTCTCCCCCGGGTCCTCGCCCGCGCCTGCGCCCGCGTCCGCACATTCCAGCCGCGACGCGTCCACGTTATCCGCATCATTCGTGGCGCCCGCGACACCCGCGAATCCCGCTACGCCTGACGCGGATCATTGAACTTTTATATTTTCACGTTGAAGTTATTAAATAATTTCATCGCTTAGGTGTAAAAGATTGTCTTTAACGAAGCTTTATTAACTCTACATTTTGTAAATTCACTGAAATTTATATAATATATATATATCTTTTTATACATATTTGTAATTACCATAAATAGGAGGCGAGTTCGATGTATTTATTTAGATAGGTAGGCTAATTGAATGAACTTGACTGGGAACAAACGTAAATACGAAGCGATATGGCCTAATGTGACCAATGTGCGCGTCTATGTACGTTTCACTGAGATTCTGGCAGCGCCCGCGCGCCGTCCTTGTTATCCTGACGCAGTGTGAACACATATCTTTCTATCTGAAGGTAGACCTTGTAGCTTAAATATCTCTCGTTAACGATCATTCATACGTTCGATTTTGATGTTATTGTATGAAAAATGATCGTAAAGAAGTGAGAGCGTGAGCCTTTTGGCAGGTACGAACGCGGGTAAACATTTGCTACAAACGCCTGCATGGATCCGATGAGTTCCTGTATTGTGGTGATGATGATAAGTGTAATGGCAAATGTTTCTCTGCGATACGTATCTACTTTACTATTGTAGGTATATTCAAATTCTTATACTTTACAAAACTAACGTGAAACTGTGCCATTAATTTAACTTTACAACGTGCCACTGCAATTTTATTTATATATCTAGTGTAACATGACTGCTAAATAAGTAATAACTTTAACAATATTTTTTTATTATTTCTAGTCGAAGATGTATTATATTGAACGCAAATTGTCGACTATGTTTTTTTTTACTTGAAATATTTTATTATTTCATTAACTAATCATCAACTATTTTGGACAGATGCTGTCTCGATCTTCTCTTGCTCAAAGATTTTTTTATTTAACAAAATTTGCTCAAACCTGCTTATTTTGTATACTCGCTGATGACATAACAGCGTCTATTTGCTTACCCTACTCTTGCCTATCTCTATAAACTTTGCGATATCGCACTTGTTACTTTGTTACTTCATTATTATGTTTCCCAGTGGCATATATTTTTATAATGTGCGTATTATAGACTAATCTAGTAAAGTATGATGGTAAATTATGATCTCTTAATCATTATTAATTACTTTCAAGTACCTATAAAGAGGGCCCCTAATTTATAATACTCATAAGTTTTTGTATAGGCATAATTATTCTTATAAGATTTATTTCTAAAATACTAGATTTCTGTTACTGTGATCATACCAAGATGCAAATTTTGCTTTATAATGTTTACTGGTACGATAATGTTATTTGTGGGCCTCTTTCACGATCGCTAGTCGGTTGGCGCAGCGTTCTAATTTTCAAATACATTAGTAATTGTTGTTGGGATTGATTGGGTTTAATACAACAAAGTACAACAAATACTAAATGAAAAATGCTTAAAAAATCTTCATTAAGAACATTTTTCAGTATAGCATTGTAAATGTAAAATTTACCAAATATAATAACAAAGTAGTAATAACGTCAAACAACGAATGCACAAGTGAAAGAAGCTCTACTGTGCCAGTAATATTATATAATTAAGTAATAGGTATTCACGCCGAGTAACTATTCATACTAATATAATGTTAATCAGTTAATTTCTCTGCAGGAGTACAAAAATCAGCACAAAATAAGTTTCATATTTCAATAATTATATTAGGGAATGTTTTTACAAAAAAAAATAATGCCTTCGAATTATGATATATGTACCTACTGTTGTACTTTAGTATGTGTGGAGAATCACTTTGTTACTCATTGTTTACTGTAGAATAAGTAATTGACTATCTTCAAATAAGAAAACTTAGTGCAATTGAAACAAAATTATATAAATTATTTTTATGTCACCGAACGAAAACAGTAATATATATATAAACAACAGGGTGGGCCTTTCTAATGTCGGTTGTTATGAATTTAGAATATCTGACAATAATATTACTAATTCTTGCGCATACAATTCAATAGGTAACAGGGAACGGTGCGATCGAGCTCATATTACAAGAGTATACATAAAGTTAAGATCACTTTACATTAGATAAAAAAATTAAATTTACATTTTATGTGGAATATGTTTGTAACTACGTGAACAAGAACACAATAGCGATAAATATCAAAGTAGTACGTTATCATAGATATAAAAATTAATCAATGGAGCTGTCATTTGTGTCTCTATCAATTGTAAATAATACTTTCCAGCAATAATGTACTGCCGTTGATATTTAACGCGTTTGTTCTTCATTGCAACTTCAGCATGCTCAGCATCCGTTCCCAAATGCTCAACCGCACAGCGCAGTCGAATAACGCGTGCTACGCGCTACGCGTACATAAAAATAATGGTCTACGAGTTTATAATATTTTTACTGTTATAGAAGAGACGAAGTCTCCGATAGAAAAGGCTAGCTTAGATAGATTTTAAATAAAGAATAATTGAAATTAGTCAAACGAGTGACAAATGTAACGGAAAAGACTAAATTCTTACACACTTTACGTAATGTTGCAACGCGTTAAAGTTATTGATATACGGTGAATGTTAGGTTACGAGGCACGAGGAGTCAGCTGCGAGGCTTGGCTTAGCAGGGGCGACTTTCGTTGTTAACAAAACACTGTTACTCTTCGACCCTGTACGGATCATGGTGACATTTTGTCCTAGCACTAGTTTTTTTTTTTCAAATTTTTATGAACAAACTTTTTTATAAGTAGTGTTCATATAATACCTAAAAATGGGTGCGAAATCTTTACGAATTTTGTGTAAGTATGGTTATTAATTTAAGCTGTCTTTACGTATTTCACCAGAGTGAAAGATGTTGTTGATGTTCTAAGATAAATTAGTCATAAGTACATAGGTATTGTTAAATCTCACTAATTTTTACTAAATTCTATTTAATATATTTGTAAATACACTCTGACTAATTTTGGATTTAATGTGTATATAAGAGAAAAGAAATTTTTATTTAATATGAAACCACCTAAGGTGCGAAAATACAAATTGTTGAAAACTTACACTTGTTGTTTATATTCAAAATAATTTTTATTTTCCTCAAATCCCTTCTTATAATCTTAATCTAGTATAAAAGCGCCATAAATCTACAGTGATCGATTACACAATTTAATAAAACGACTACATTCTGATACACTATAAGAAGTGAAAATCGAAAAAGTAACTAACTGCTGTGAAACCATCATAGATAGAATAACTGTTATATCTAGAACAGCGTTTCCTAACCTTTTCAATGTCACTACCCATGTGAACAAGTATGGAAAATGAGTTTACCCCTAGCTAATTTAAAATAATTCAACCACACAAATTCGAACAAACAAATTTATTAGTTTTTTTATCTCATGTCATGCTCCACATTCAGACAGTTTCTGGCTTTTTTTTAATGTAAAGAGTCGACTAACTACCGTACTATTATTTTAATACTTTTTCGTGCCAACTCTGTTTACCCCCCTATAATTACCGTTTTACCCCTACGGGGGTAATTACCCTCAGGTTAGGAAACACTGATCTAGAAGAACGTACCTGATGTTAATTCTGTCTTGAAAACAACGTTAACTACTTCATGGCAAGATCGTAATATGTACCTACACTTGCAACAAAATAATCAGAATAATGTTTTTTAAAAATGAAATGACTTCAAAGATTTTTTTGTTTATGACAAATTCATTGCCGCATATTGTATTGATCGAATAAATTATCTATTTGAGAACTAAGTTTGTTTGAAACGAGATAGAGTCGGTGTATTTACAAAACCTAAATAATCTACAGCTTTCTAAAAACTAAAATGTACTATAATAATTTGATCCGTATTATAACGATATAGAACAATAAACTAAAAACCACCAAGTTCACAGTTAGCTGGGTATTAGAACAACCATTGGATTTTTTAAATATTGTTTTATTAGTGAAATCTTGGTGAAACCATCGATATAAGTCAATGGTAAAACTTAATTTTGCATTACAAAGCATGTCAAAGATACTTCTGAAGTTCTAGTTGGTCAACTAGCGACATCTTGCAGATAATTACAAAAAACCTGTGCGCTAAAACGGTTTTGTTCGTAACCATCCGTTTCGACAACGAAGCATGTATCACGCCAACTGGCCACCTGCTCATATTTTCTTTAGCCCTAATATAGAGTTAAATAATGATTCGCTAGATGGCGCTATGTTCCACCAATAAATTTGATATCATGGAATCAAAGAAATATTTATTTGCGTGTCGCACACGTAAGTATATTGTTTTGTGTGCGTGAACGTGACATAATTATGATGAGTTGATGATGACATTAACACTAGCAGTGCTCATAATAAACAAGGTTTTAGCGTCAGAGTAAATTTACGCTAAAACTGCAATTTTATTAGTATTAGTCCAAATACATATTATACAGAGAATAAGCAAACCTGCCACCTTCTAGTAATAAATATTAACCCTGAAGAACCTCCTTCATACTAGGTTAACCTTTGCTAAGTCTGTTTAATAATATAAATTTCAATTAATACTAAGTACAGTCTCAGAGCATTTCTTTAGCGCTATAACAAATTACAGGACCGTCTTTACCCATGGTGAAGGGCGTGCAACGCACGGGCACCGCACCGATGATCTTTGGGAAATTCCCTGTTACGGGGGGGTAGTATTTTATTTCGGCATATCGTTTAGATCTATCTCTTAGATGACATTACCAATATAATCTAAGGACTACATAGGTATATTCCAGCAACTTCGCTCGTGTAAATTATATAATAAGTCGCCCACGTTATATTTTTGTTTCCCATGTGTGAAAAAAAAAAACCAAAATTGGTCCAGTAGTTTCAGATCCTATTTTATGCAAACAAACAAAACTTTCCTCTTTATAATATTTCTATTCAAAAGGTAAAGAAGACTGACTGACTGATCTATCAACACACAGCTCAAACTACTGCACGAATCGAACGTAACTTTGGCATTAATAGGTAATTAAATGATCGTCAAAAAAGGGTAGGTTAAATGATCGTAAAAAAATTGAAAATTTCAACTATAGGGGATTGAATTCATGTAAATCATCGAGGGCATTGCAGTCGGCGAAAATCCAACCAAACATACCTACAACCAAAAAACATATTCCACCCAAAAACATATTATGTAATTTGAAAATTGACGTGTGTTTTTAGTTCGACCCCTTTTATAAGGTAATCCTCTACTGCAAGAGGTAATCCTCTTGTATGAGAGTTGTTTAAAGTATTACAAAGAAAAAGTTTGTTATTAAAACAAAACAATTTAATATAAAAAAAGAAACTACAATCTCAGACACATAAACTGGACATAGTATTTTGCAGAAATACACTTAAGAAATATAAATTATATTAAAATTTATGAAAACTACAACAAAATTCATAATAACTAAATAAATATACTTTTTATTATAAAAACTTGAAATTATCATCTCATTAAAAAATCTACTGTTTTGTGAAATATTGAAATAAGACAAAAATAATGGTAGATAAAATTTCAGTAAGCACAGTAAAACAAAGGCAATTTTAATAAGCAGACAACGATATCAAAATCGCAATGATAAATGCCTATATCAAATTGTACTTTAATCTCAAAATGACAAGGAAAAAAAAGTAAATGTCTTAACTTCTTGTAATACGTTTTTAAATAACGAATACATTTAGTAACACTAAAACAAATTAATAAAAATAATACACACTTTCATTAAATTAATGTTCTGTAGAAATCACACAACGATAGGTATTGTATCATTAACTTGATATAAAAAAAATATTTGTGTATGTTTCTGTGGTCGATGGCTTAATTTTTTTAATACTTCCTTTTATTCAGCAATTTTTAACGATTCCAAATATTTAAATAAACTCAATATCGATAAAATGTCACTTATATCAATTAGCCTTATAACTGTCGATTTATAATAATGAGTGGAAACTGAAAATAATTAAAAAATTATACTACTTTCTACTAATGTATGTTGTAGCCAAAGGTAGCATTTCCTAAGTAAAGTCATATGTATGCCATTCGGCAACCCTACAAATGACATACCATTTCTGTCATTAACTAACGAATTTTAAGCAAACAAAAGAACAGAGATACTAAAACCTGAACTATATAGAATTGATTTAACACCTATTTAGGGTTGATTTAACCGATAATTGTTTGTGCTAGCGCCTCGTTTCTTTGTACTCCCTATTATGACGCTCGAAAGAGATTTTAAGCTATAATAGCAGTATCGCACGTAAAAACACATTGTATCAACGGCAATAGGCAAATAAACTTCAATGTAAGACACTAAAGAGAGGGGAGTTCGATGGAGCAGTAGTTAGCGCGCTTGGTCTTCAATAAAGTTCTTAGGCAACTTTCGCAATGGCCGTATTCCACTTCTGAAGGTAAAGCCGTTGGTACCGGCTGCAATCCGCACTGGGAAGGCCTGAGTCCCAGCTGTGGGGAGAGAAATAGGCTGGTAATGATAATCAGATTTATGTTTTATTTCATCGTATGATGAAATCGAAGCGCATGTTCGTGCTATTGGAAGCCGAGATCCGTCTGTCAGGACTTAGGAACAGGCGTAAAACTTCTTTTTAGACCTGAAACTTAACTAACCAAACCCAAAAACAAAGAAACTTCAGTGACTATGACACACATATAATGACGTTATAAACAATAAGGTTTAATAAATTAAACTTGTCATTCAGCACACGAAAACTAATTAACTGTAAGCACCCAATGTGTGTTCAGTCTTTAATATTTATTCTAATTCGAATTTAATAATAATTACAACGTTACATAGCGTTATATGGGGCTGAAATATATATAAGTTCAAGTGGATCTCATGTCGGGAGCTATGCAAACTCTAGACAATTTTCCATTCAATTAAATAACAGTCCCACATTAATAAAATAAGGTCATAAATATAATTTGCATTTAGTTACTACTATAAACTCCGTCAATAGTAAGAATAACGTAGTTACACAAATCATAATTTCAATGCTATTTATACTTTAATTAGAATGAAAAATACATATGTAAAGGAAGTTAGGACTAGTATAATCCCCGCAAATTGCTTAAGCGCCTGGCCGCCATTTTGATGACGTGATTGTGTTCAAAAATCAGTACCGTTAAAACTGGTAGACGACTACAGTTAATGGGTTAGGTTGTGTTGAGATCACACATCATTTCACTAATAATAAATACATCTCATTTAATTACTACTTTTGGTTATGTTTTTAAAATATGTCCTTTCCCTTTATTATTACAACGTGAATGTATTTTTCTTTTCATATATTCTTTTAATTTCCATGTGTCTCAATATTTACATATACATTGATTATTTCCCGAAATTTCATGCAATAATTATTCATAAATATTTTAAAATTTATTTCTCGCCTTTTGTGCTATCTATAATTTATATTTTCATATGACGTCACTCGGGTGTTATATTAACAAGGTTCCGGCGCATTAGCAATTTACGGAACTTATACTTAAATTCATAAAAAATATTAATATATTTTCTGCAATAATGGCAAAAAGCTTATTAAAAGATGTACCTTTTGATTTTCAACAAAATCGTCACAATAATCTTAAATTTTTAACGTTATTTATTTACCATTTGTCAAATATAAATATCACTTCGTTCGTCTAATTAATATTCACGTCACTCGCTGTCTAACAAATCACAACAGACTAGTGTTAAATAGTGAACAGTAGCGTGCAACATAGAGTGTGTTACGTGGCCTCCTCGCCGGCCTTCACTAAATTGGGTTCCGATTCGGAGCGCAATTTGAGGCCATCTCCGTGCGGAGTATTTGGCCGGTCGTCTACTTCTGGCTGAGATGTGGCTGCAGCTGTTGTAATGTCGGGGGCACTGCATGTAATATCGCCCTGTAATTGATGTTAAATAAAAAAATCATCAAACACAAAGGCTAAGAACCCATAACACAAAGAATCATGTCCAATTTTGACCTAAAAATTTACAGACACATCTAGTGATATCTCAAAATGTAGCTTGAATGATATTTAGATTTATTTCCATATTTACGAGACATACAATGAAAAACTTCGATTTTAATACATTATTTTTTAAAGCAGCTTCACAATTATCTCGATTTCTGATAGCTGTTATAATCTCAAAATATTATTTACAAATAACGAATCTCCCTGGCCTCCAGACGAAAAGATGCTAAAATATTATTCTGTTTTAAGCAAAAACTAATTTACCATGTCGACCATAGACACAACGATCAATGTATAGAAAATGGACATAATTCATAATGATTCTTATCGCAATTAGTTCAGTAGTTCATCATCCAGTTCCTTTATCAATTGAAAATGAGTAAATCGATCAGGTAGATGTTAAAAGTGCGTCCAGAAGCGAGATATTTGATCGAGAATGACATAAATATTACGAAAACAGCCTCAAAACACATACAAAACTAACGATTGCAATCAATGGGTGAGAACTACCATATCAATCTAATTGAAATAAACATACCTATACTCCATTCATTATATAGAAGATAAAGTTAAATAAGGTTCTTTTTATGGTATACTTTGTGACAAAATATAAATAGCCCCCATACCTACCCTCAACCTTTGACATTTCAGGAAGCTTTTCCAATGTCTTCATCAATACTCTAACCAATAACACTTACAATTAGAATTTATCAAAACAACAGACAGTTAGTTTCAGTTTTAGTTCCATGTTGGCTTCAGAGTAAAAGATGAATTTATAAAATGCTGGCCTCATCTCAACCCCAAGGTATCGTAAAAAATGGAAAATTGCCCAGCTCTTTCAGACTACCTAACGTTCAAAGTTTTAACAAACTAATATATATTTTTTTAAATTATCTTGAAAATAAAAATGTTCTGCTCTGCTGCTTCTATGACCCTCTTTTTTCTAATGTTATAATGAATGGAGTATAGAGAGAAAGAATATAAATCTAATCGAATGAACTACAGAGCCAAGTTCATTACATACATTTAGTTCAAATGATGTATATGGTGCTTTTAATTTCAGTGTGCCGTTTTGCGCAAGACTACTGCGCAGTTCCAGATATTTTCATTGGTGCAAGCGGCGGTCGTGAAGCTATCGAAGTTAGATAAATTGTACACTGTACAAAGGGACTGCGCAGTCAATTACTATAAATCGTTGTGTAAACCGGCCATTACACTGACGTGAGATGTGATTACGAGATTTCTTAACTCACTCATGCTAACGTAGTATCATATCCCTTTATCTCTTCACAGTAAGAAAATCCTTTTTTTATTTTCATCCAAGTATACAGAGAGTTTATTAGTCTATAGTTTATTAGACTATGCAGGCATAAGTAATAGTAGAATCATTATTATTTAATTACCAGTTCTGTTTCAAGAGAGTGCTCTTGTTTAATTGGAGTATTCATCTTATCATTAAGATAACAAACGCCGTTTAGATCAATAGCACTGTTGGAGAATATTGCAGCGGCACCGACAGATGCGTCCACCAAAGGCTCATTCTAGTAAAAAATACAGAAATTTAAAATGAAATCTAGTCAAAATAACAACACATCAATAGGGTAAACAGAAATTCTGTTGATTTAATTTTTACCTTAACAACATCTTCTGGAATTTGAAACTTCAATTGCAGCGTTTTTTTTGTAGGAGGTAGCTCTGCTTCTTGTGTTTTATGCACAGTAGACAATATTTCTTTTATGCTTTCCTTTTGCTCCCTGAAATAAATCATTTAATTAAATAAAAAATATATGATATGCTGTTCTATTTTCTATCCATAATTTGCTATTTTATTTCAAAATTATGGATTGCTATTATGGAATTTTAAGATATGGTTAATAGGGATGACAACTAATTTTTGTTTTTCTGTCAGGTATATTATTGAAGAATATTAAATTTATTTTTTTATTTTTTATTTTGCATAATCAATAAATTATGGTGATTCACCGAGTTGAAATGTCGCATGACGTCACGCTTTTGTGCATTTTCTACAAAACTGTGACGAAGCTAGCCCCCTCTCCTCAACTTTAATGCCTGCTAACAGAGCCATTCCTTGATTTAAATTGAAGCAAGAAAATACGTATCTAATATTTTACTATTATCAGACTAACAGACTAAATAAATTCTTTTTTTTTAACAGTTGTCATCAATATTTAGAAAAGAAAAAATGTCAAATTGTAATCCCAGTACAATTTCAATTTATTCATCCTTCTCACTTCGTAATGCTCATTGCTAAGGATTGTGTGAGGTCCCCAATGGAATTAATTTGTCGGGATCATACCATATGTGACTGTCTTAAGCACTTTGTAGTGCGACATGCATCAACTTATTCATAATAAAAATATTTTGTTCATACTTTTTTGGTGTTGTGTGGTGACTTTCATTTTTCTCCATTTGATGTTGCGCTATCAAATCACAAGCTTTACCTAAGATCACAATAGACACAAGTACTCTTATTGTCAGCAGACATAGGTATGCAATAAAAATGAGTAGGATTGCAGCAAATCTGAAAAAATATTTTTACTAAATTCATTTGCTAATTTATGCCAAAAAGTATATTCTATGAAAAATGCTTAAAATATCTACTAGCACCAGGGACCTAGAGATGAAACTCGAACCCACAACCTTTCACAATCCAGGACACTACTCTAACCATTGAGCTTCCCGAAACCCAACAGTACTGATGAATTTCTTGAGCACTTGCTACTTTTTTCTACTAGTGATCATATTCCTATGAATGTTTATTATTGAATATGCAGCATTTCTCATTGAATATGTTTACCAGTATAGCATATAATAAGACGAAAAGTAGATAATTTCTTCTTTACCCATCTATTTTGACAGCATGTACGAGAACCCTTGTGATAACCACACCTAGTGGTAAAGGAATAAAACCCATTCTTCTCGCTACTAAATCAGAGTGATCACTGAAAGCATATTTTTGTCTAGTTTGAGCAACATCATAAGCCAAACTGACAGTATATTCCCTATAAACTCCATATGGAATTTCATTAAACCTGCAAAAAACACAAATTATAATACAATTTATATTATTTTATCAAAAAATGAACAAGCCTAGAGTTCTTTTATGCAAAAATATTTCATTTATTCGATACAATAAAGGTAATGTTCCATACCTTGTAATAAAAGCATGTTTTACCCAATCTATTATAACTTCAAATGTTAAAACGAGAACACAATCAGGTGCCAATATCCAGAAACGTTCTTCCCTCCATGTATACTCCTTCATAGTCTGCAGGACCACTATGAAAAGAAGAACTGACAAATGCAGACGTTCCCTAACATCACTGCAGGATACTTGGAACAAGTTATTCTTGTCAAATTTTTTAAACACACTTCCTTTTAATTCAACAAACTGTAAACAAAAATATAAAGTAATGAAAGATAGTATATACTGTACTAAAGAAAACAATTAGTTTATAATTCAACACTTACATTATTTGACATCATAATGATGAGCAAGCTTTTATTATTTGAATTAAACGCCACATTGAGAGTGGTTGCTTGGAACAGAACCAACAAACTGTGAAGAACTGCTAAATAATTAAGGATATATAATTTATTTTTTTCATTATTATTCTTCATCTAACTGGTTCAATAAAATATATAGAATATGCATAATGGCAGATGATACAGCACCCAATATAACATATATTTGTATGAAAAAGTATATCAGTATGATCAGGTCATATAAAATTATTTACAAATAAATTTATATGACCTGATCATACTGATATTAACCATCAGTAACTATGAAATTTATTACTATTTCATGAATTCATTGAGTCATAAAAGAAATTTATTGAAAAGGATACAGACATATGTCATAGCAAACAACAAATGAGGTATTAAGCCCAAATGTTCTCGCCTTCTGTCTCTTGGTTCTGTTGCAGTCCAAAACAAAGCATCAATTGTGTCCTGTCCAAAAGCTGAAAATAATCGGTCTCCAACTTCCAGCATGTTGTAGAAAATGTACAGTTTCATAACACTTTGACTTTTTACCAAGTGATACATCATATTGGTATCAATGTAGCACATTAATATGCTGCATACCAAGAGTATGAAACCTTTGAGAACATCACATGTTTCAGCAGGTTTTAAAATACTTTTATGACAATTTGTATAAAATCTGGAAGGCAACACATGTTTTCTTCATAAAAAAGTTACTTGTGTTAAGTTATAACTATAAAGAAAAAGACAGTATCTAATTTTCTTGATTACATGTAAAAAACCAGCCAAATTTTACTTTAATAATTATAGTACAGTTTATTTGTAGCATGTAGCAATAAATAAACAAATTTCGTACATCAACCTACCTAAAACATTTCCTGAACAACCGATTAACGAATGACCAGAAAGCCATTATAAATCGTAGTGGCAAAAAAGTGTAAACAAATAACAAAGAGTCTGCACATTGGAAAAATCCATATACCATAAACTTTTCTAATTCTTGAGGAATCTTTATAAATGAATAAACCTTCTCTCGTCTTGCAGAGAATCTTTCTTCGTCATGTTCCAGTAAATAGCCTCTTGTAAGTTCAACGTGTAGAAAGGCAAAAAGGGAAGCAGATTTATCTCCATCTACAACCACATTTTGATAGTTAATGTTAAAGATTTTTCAGACTGACGGGTTCAAAGTTTCATATTAAATAAAAATTACCTTTATTCTTCATGTCTTTACTAAATCTATAATCAAATTATGTGCTAACGAATTATAAAAGACCGCAGGTTTTAGAAGTAACTCCCTTTTAGAAACTGGATATCCTCATTAATCATTAAATTAAATTGAAAAATAAGTTCTAACCGTAAACATAAATAAACGCACAGCAGCACCAGCAGCACCCTGCAGTGACAGTTGTCAAAAAAGTATCGATTTTATGATTTAGAATTATATACCGATATAATTATATCGATATATAAATTTGAATGCCTGTGTTACCGATTTAAATTGTAAACCTATAATGAGAAAGTGTTTAAAAAAAACATTAGTTACCGAAATTAAAGTAGATGTCACTACGATACTTTCTTAATTTCTCCATGACAACCCTTTCGGTTTTCTTTCATGTATAAAAGTAAATTAGTTTTCAAAACTCAATAAACAACTCATATTCTATTTGAAATTTTTCGTATTTGTATTGATACAAATTTCAGTTTTTTAATATATTAGTTAAAAGGAACGGAAATTACTGTCTTTGATCCATTCCTTTCCTGCAAAAATCAACTTTCTTTTTATTTTTAAATACTTTCTCATTATTGATATAAGTCGATAATATTTTACTTAAATCTCTATCATTGCTATTAATAAACTAAGTTTAGAGTTAGAGGAAATTTAGGCTTAAATTGCAATTTTAATATTAGTCTAAATTCATAATATACACAGAATAAGCAAACGCTACCTTCTAAGAGTAAATATAACTCCCGTAGAAGCTCGTACTAGGTTAACCAGTGCTAAGTCTCTATTTAATAATATTAATTTTCACTAATACTAAGTGTAGTCTCAGCGTAAATTTACTCCAACGCTAAACCTTGTTTATTAATTACACTCTAAAAGTATTGATTATGAATATTTATTTCTAGAGTAAAATCATATTTTTTTTATCTGAGGTCATTATAGATGGAAAATATTATTAAAACAGTGCGTAACTGCATAATTATTGTTTTATATATTCCAAATAGTTTATATTGGAAAACGGGTACATAATAATTTTAATGAGGATGTATTTAATAAATAAAAATTAGTTCTTGAAATCATACTAGATGTCACTCACGATGTTTGGATTTTGTTTATGATATTCATGTTCAAGATGTTTGGTTAATACGTCAACATTAGTGATGAGCCAACTTATTGGTTGCTCCTAATTTTCATCCGAATTCAGGTTTGGAATGAAGAACACAAAGCGGAGCGCAGAATTCAGCTTGTATTTGTATGTGTCATTATCAGAGGTCGGAACTAGGTAGAGTTATTTATGTACTTGCATCGAAATGTTGATATTAATGCGGACCTTCCCGGGATTTCTAATGGACAATCTTGGACATCTTTGGACATCCGATATCATTGATGTAAGTTTGGCAACGTCGTGCGTGCAGTAGTTTAAATTGTTTAAAAGTAAATAACTTTTTATTTAAAAAATCACGTGACTTTTTCTGCTCTTTAAAATTAATCTCGGGATTTGAGGCATATCCACTTTATTCTTTCGCTGTATGAAATCAGTGTAAGCACATGAATAACTCTACCTAATTCCGACCACTGGTCATTATGCATCCACAAAACGAATGATATTAATACAAATATCAAAATCAATTCAGTCTAGGCTGTTACATAGTACTTGTGAAAGTCGAAAACTTTGCCAATTGTTCGTAAAACTAAGGTGGGAGATCTTGTACTGATAAGAATCGGCAAGAAACTCAGCAAGGGCTGTTTTTTTTAATTTCAACCATATAACTCAACTATACTGTAACGACATAACGCACACGACATCACCGCAGAGATTTTAACTGAACATGACTACTCTAGGTACTTAAAAAATAATATTATTCAATAAACCTGATTTCTAGAGTAGGTTGTATTCAATATATTATTAATAATATTATTGTAGGAACCAAAAAGCACATAACCACCGTACGAATTAACTTAACACATGGCTCGACCTCCGCCGTCGACATGCAAGATCAGTAGCAATAGTATAATAGTCTTTGTGATTTTGAACTTTAAAGTTATAACCATGCTGTTTGTTTAGAACAGACGTTTCTTGTTGATTGCTGAATGTTTATTAAGATGATTTAATTATGAATATAAGATTTAATAATTGATCATAGTTTTTTAAAGTCTTAATTTCAAAAGCACAAGTTATTTGCACTTTGCACAAATGTCATTTTAGCCAGAAGTCATATTATTTTGTACAAATACCTAGTATATTTGATACATATCGGGTAAATATATAGATAATAAACGGATTTTTTATTATAATTATTGTTTTATGACTTTTGTTGCTGATTAATAAACCCTATTCATTCATACACCATACATAATATAAAAATATTAATGAGACTTGATGTAGTTTTGTTGTTGTAACAAACAGCAATAAAACAAACTTACCTAGTTTTTATTGTTTTCAGAACTTTTGTTAAATATTATAATGAAAAATTCCTAGACCTACTATGGCATAAGTATCTTATTTATAAAAACTATTTGGCGGTAATATTATTGTATACCGTAGCTTAATGCCTCTTTTAATGATATCACAGCATTAATCCAATTGATTTCCATAAATTAAAAAAAAAAACCTCTGTGCTCACTTCCATTATGATAGTTACCATTTTCCTCTATACAAATAAAAAAGAAATTTATTCAAAGATTACTTTGTATTAATTGAGTTGCGTTTGCATAACTCGAACTAATTAAATTTCAACTCGATAATATTAAACCTAGTTATCAGATCCATAACAACACTGACAATTCTATTCTTTTTGGTTTAACGTCATGAATTGTTGATGTGTGACGTTTAAATCCAACAATTTGTGCTGCCATTAAGTGACATAAATTTTTGAAGCTTCTTTATTTTTTTAAATACTTCCTCATTAAAAATTAAGTCAAGTTATTAGGCTAACACATGAATTAAAGAGATTTTTAAATTTTACTTTTTAAATATTTCCTCATTGTTTCCCTATTAAATGACAGGGGCGCCTTCATTTATTTTCTGTTTTGTGTTGCAGTAAGTCCCGTAAATTGCTAATGCGGCGGAACCATGTTTAAGCAACACCCGCGTGACGTCATTTGATAATAGAGTGTATAGGTAGCACCAAAGGCAAGGGATAAATTATTTATTAATTATTGAAATAGCTATGAATAATCCCCAAAATATTTTTATGATAAAAATAATAGTTTTGTAATTTATTGCGTGCTTTTCGGAAAAGGGCAATTTAAAGATCAAAATTGAGATATATGGAAAATAAAATTACATTTACTATATAATAACGCAATAACAAACGTAATAGACAATTTTATACACATAAGCAAAATTTATGATGATATGTTTAATTACATAATTGTTAATGTTTAATTAATAAATTTACATAATATGTATTTTTAATGAAATCAGGTTAACTAATTGTGGAAATCGTAATAGTACTATTTAAGTCAACCATAACAAGTAACAACAAAACTTAACAATAACAATGGAAAACAATAAAATCATTACAAAAATTGCGTGTGATCTCTACACAATCCAACTCAATAATTATACTCGTCAATCAGTCTTTATTTGTCAACGGTAATGATAATTGAACATAATTATGTCACCAAAATAGCCGTCAGGTGCATTACCAATTTGCGGGCATTATAGCTACTACAAGTATATGATGACATATTTTTGGCACTTTTTGGAGACGGGTTAAGCAGATTTTTTGATTAATGTCGGGCATATTTGACGTTTTTGAAACGATCACCCTGCATGCTATATGATAGTGTTAATGTTAATTCTATTTCTTGTCTTTGGTAGACTCATTATTTGGCAGTATGGCTAAGTTCCTTCGCATGAACTTATTACGAAACAAAACAAAATACCACTATCTTTGGTTGTCAATGGCTGTATGGGCTAAGCTCTCTTCGCTTTTTCATTACGGATAAATGTACTAAAAAAAATATCTTTGGTTGTGAAACTAGTGAATGAATGTAAAACGCGGCATCGCGGCACGCTATTGTAATAGGTATTTTATAGTGAAAATTTTCGAAATTTAAAACTTTTAGTACACATATCGTATTAATTAAGTTTTATTTCATGTAGGTACAGAAGTAATTACTTAACTACGAGGCACTAACTGTTAATAAGTATGGCTTCTAATGAGGGACGAAGTGCTCAATCTAACTTGCATCAGCAAGATCTGTCTAAATTAGTAAGTGTATTCTTCATTAGGTAACTACACTGATATTTCTTTCACTTAGATAGTCTTCATCCATGGATATATATATAAAGGAAAGAAAGAAATATCAGTGTCATACGTCATGTTTCCAAATTACATTTTTTAACTTAACCTATTTCATGCTTTTTATTCAACTTATTGACATATTCCTTTCATTTCTTTATTTTAGGATGTTACAAAACTATCAGCTCTTTCACCTGAAGTAATATCGAGACAAGCTACCATAAATATTGGTACTATTGGTCATGTAGCTCATGGAAAATCAACAGTTGTCAAAGCTATTTCAGGTGTACAAACTGTTCGATTCAAGAATGAGTTGGAAAGAAACATTACTATCAAACTGGGTATGTATAATATAATATGTTTTCCATAATAATTAAGGATAGTTAATTTGTTGTGTCACATCTTTTAAAAATAAATAGTTGCCTGTGAAAATGTATGCAACAAATTTATTAAGGTGTGTTACAAACCCTCAAACTTGGAGTTTGTAGAGCTAGTTTACTACTACAAGAATTAGGAGCTGCACTATTGTTGCATAACAAACAGGCACTTTAAACCCATCTTCAGACATTGCACTTTGTACTTGCATTAGAAAGTGTAATATTTTATAATAAAAAATGACCTGAACTTATATTACACAAATCATTTGTGATGGATCGGAATATGTTCTTACTTCCTTTTTAGTATTTTTTCCTTGAGCTGTTTTCTAACATGAGGACTGTGACATCATCTTTACTTTTGTATTTTATAATTAGGTTCTATCTAAAATGTATAATTTGAAGCTAAAATAAATAAATTAAAATGTTCACACTAAAACAATAATAAGTTTATAAATTATTATTTAATATAGTTAATATAATTTAAACTGCAATTGATCAGGTTGTACACTATGTATATAATTAATTGATAATATGAAGTGTGATGAAATTTATCTATATAAAGAAATATAATTACATGCCCAATATTATTGCTATGTTATAAATTATAATCTATTATAACCATATCCTATAATAATAATAATAACACTTTATTGTCAACACATTTATTGTTAATAAACTTATTTAACTAAACAATACATCAAAGTGTAACAAATGGCGATCTTATCTCTGAAAGTGCAGAACAAGAAAAAGCAGAATTTTCTTGTAAATCCTAAAGTAATGTTACAAATTTTTTTATCAAAGGATAGGTGTCAACCATCATTTTTAATGAAATTCAATAGTTTCAGAATGATAAAAGATATTGAACACACACATAGCTTAAATAACTTTAGAAATTCATCTATTTGGGTATCTCAAGTATCTCTGTACCCATTTAGTAAGAAGGGTGACAAAAATAACATTAGTGTAGACAAAACATTTCTCGTATTCATCATGCTATATGTGCTGATCTTCAAGTATGCTTTCGAACAGTATAAACCATAAGCATAATATGTATAAACTATAGGAAGAAATATTTTTATCTCCAAAATCATTCTCTTATCAATAAAATAAAAAAAACTGGTTTAATAAAAAAACAATAAAATTATGTTAATGAAAAACTGCAGTTTTTCGCATGCACCATACTCAAAATAAACTGTACAAACAGCCGCTTTGCAATGTACCATGTAAAAGGGCATGCATATATAAATTATATTAAAAGAATATTATGTGTTATCAGTTTGTGTTAATTTCAAACACATGGTATGTTGCAGAGCGCCTGTCGGATTCAGTAATAAGAACATATCAGGAACTGGCAGAAGAGAAAAATGAGAATCAATTTTTTGAGAAAATTAGAAGGTCCAGGAAAAGAAATTTGTCTCCTGAGGCAGAAGAAGAACTAATAATGCCATTACCAAAAAAAATAAAGAAAAGTAAAAAAGAAGATGAAAGTGAATTCATTATAGAAAAGATACTTGACTTTAAATTCGAAGATGGAAAACCCTTCTTTTTTTTGAAATGGAAAGGATGGCCTGATAGTGAAAATACTTGGGAACCACTTGAACATCTTGATAACTGTCCATCACTACTTCAAACATTTTTAATCAATGAAGAACTAAAACATTGTGTTAAATTTGAGAAACTTAAAGAAGAATTGTCGTTTGATGACCTTCTGAAAGATGAGAATTTATTGAAAAGGCTGGATGAAGTGGAAGAATTTAAAATATCACATTTAAAAGAGACTCTTACTATAAAATTGTTATCAATGATTACTTTAGCTCAAGAAAATGAAACATATGTTGTAGATTTAGTGCAAGACACTCGCAATATCTTACAATTATATGTTTTAGCTAGAAAACGCTGTCAACAATTAATGGCATTAAAAAATTGGGAGGATCATTTAAACCAAGTAGATAAATCTAAAAAGTTGTGTGTAGAAAATAATGTTGATATGGCTGGGCCACCAGAAAATTTTACATATATAAATCAATGTATACCTGGTGCTGGAGTTACAATTCCTGATGAACCTCCTATTGGTTGTGAATGTTCTGCATGCAACTGTCGTTCAAAGTCTTGCTGTGGCATGCAAGGAGGTATATTTGCTTATACCACAAAAAAACGATTAAGGGTTGCATCTGGAACACCAATATATGAATGCAACAAAATATGTAAATGTTCTTCTGAATGTAGTAACCGTGTTGTGCAAGGAGGTCGGAATGTAAAATTATGTATTTTTCGAACTGCAAATGGTTGTGGTTGGGGTGTCAAAACCGAACAAAAAATTGGACAGGGTCAATTTGTTTGTCAGTATGTTGGAGAAATAATAACATTTGAAGAAGCAGAAAAACGAGGAAGAGAATATGATGCCAATGGTCTGACTTACCTTTTTGACTTAGATTTCAATTCTGTTGAAAACCCCTACGTAGTAGATGCAGCACATATGGGAAGTGTATCACATTTCATAAACCATTCTTGTGATCCAAATCTTGGTGTATGGGCAGTATGGGCTGATTGTCTTGATCCAAATCTACCAATGATTGCGTTATTCGCAACACGTGACATTGAAGCTGGGGAAGAAATCTGTTTTGATTATCTACAAAAGTCATCAGAAAATGAAGAAAATGACACTAAAAACAGTTTGAATGGCGATGCAAATGCTGTGACACCAGATAGTGATAGTGGTAGTGTCGCAAATGGTTCTGAAGCTGGAACACCAACTGTACCAGTTTCACCCACTAAGTCCAGATTTGAAATACAACAACAAAATATGGAAAATCTCAAAAATCGCACAGAATGTAAATGCGGCGCAATAAATTGTAGAAAGTATTTGTTTTAAAGTTATATCATTTTATTATACAATTATGTTACTAGTTTTTCATCTGTATTTAATAAAAATTACATATTGTCATTGCAATATTTAAAGGATTAATTGAAAAGACAGTATACTTAAAGACACAATGAGGATTGTATTCAGTATTCATTAAGTAATAGAGTTCTTTTATTTGCACGTCCAACAGACTGTTCTAAAGCAAAGTGGTATTAAATATCAAAGGAAAGTTGTTATTTAGAGGCAAACAATTCTGTATTCATCACAAAAAATCTTAACACACGATCTTTTCTAGTAACTTCATTTTCTGAAATCTCAAAATGCCCAATAAACTCTTTTCACCTAAATACATTTCGATAATATTAGCGACAGTATATATTGTCGGTATATACTGTAGTTTGGATTGCTAATCCCCTCTCCTTGAAATGAAATAAAAATCTTTCAGTCTTCCATCTTTTTGTGACTTAAAAGTTAAATATAATGCTGATTTTGTTAAACATGACCAGCCCCCTGATTGTCTAATTTTAAATCCATTGCAATCGCTTTCAGTTTGAAAGGTGTTGCACAACCATTGCTGCATAATACAAATACTTTTTTTTCAACTATCTTCAGAAACAAGCAATGGTTATACAACATCTTTCAAACCGAAAGATTTTAAAGTTAGACAATTAGGCCCCAGATATTACTGAAATAGTTTAGAATGATATAACTAAATGAAGCTTTGATTTTTAACCATGAATTTGATTGTTTTATCTTAAATAGAATGAATCTCAAATACTTTAAACATAACATACTTATTTGTATTTATGTAGTAGGTATCTGCCTATTTATATATTATGAGCTTCGTACCACAATATCCAGTCAAAATAATTCTAATTTTATGACAGAATGAAATTATTTTGGGACCTTACTCGTAGGACATAGACACATAATGCTTACTTACATAATGTAAAGAAAAAATAATTTTAAATAATAGTATAAGTTAGTTATAATAAACCTTCATTCTTATACATTATACATAAATAAATATTGTTGTCTTGTTATACTATATTTTCATTATGGTATATGTAAAATACAAAGTGTTTAGAATTGAAAGTGCCTCAGTGAGTTAAGTTATAAAGTAGAATAAGGTGTATGTGATGAAACTATTAATTTTTAATCATGGATGACTAAATAAATGTTGATGTCTTGTTATACAGACTTAGTATTTCTATATTTTCATAGTTATGATATTTTTAAAATACAGTGTAAATTCAAAGTGCCTTCAAATTACTTCAAACAGTATTTCTAAATCTTAATGGTTTCATGATATTGTTGTTACACAGAGTAATTATGATTGATAAAATAAAGATAATTCGTTTATAACTTGTTTACATATATTATGTATATGTTTTAGGTATAAAACAATTTTTATACTAAATAAAACTTGCACAAAAGTTGTTGATTTTGTTTGAAATCCAATAATTTACAAGATTTTATTTATTACAAAATTTATTTATCGTGTCTGCTTAAAAACAATATTGAAAAAATAATTATAAATTTACCTATTGACCGTCGTCTCGCCCAACCACTATGTGATAAAAGTAGTCGATCTATAGTTAATTGCATATGAATATATAATTAATTTAAATAAATGCGTATGAATATATTTTTCTATTTGATATCATTTTTTGGGGAAAAACAAATCTAATAGTGGCTTATTATGATTAATGATGGAAGTTTTAAAATACCAAAACTGTGAAGTCGGCAATTATTAAGAATATTCCTCTTTAAGTTATTGCATCTATTCAGAAAGCAAACATGCTTATGAATCAGAAGCGATATAATCATGGTTAACATTCAATTGTTAATTTTAATGACCAAGGGTAGGTATAAGATTTTAATGACTACTTTTGTGTCCCTAATAAAGTTTTATTGCAGGCTACGCTAACGCCAAAATCTACAAATGCGACAACCCGAAGTGTCCACGGCCTACGAGCTTCATATCCGGTGGTTCCTCGAAAGATGACAATTTCCCGTGCCTGCGTGCCGCGTGTACTGGCCGCTTCCAACTAGTGCGTCACGTGAGCTTCGTCGACTGCCCTGGTCACGACATTCTTATGGCCACCATGCTTAACGGAGCTGCTGTGATGGATGCAGCTCTACTACTCATTGCAGGTACAATATTTGAATCTGTTACTAATAGTTGTAATGTCTTCGTCCCATATTTAGTAAGATCATACGTTACGATATCGCGTCATGAGTGAACCGTCCCTCATACGAAAATAAATGCACTTGAATAAGCAATAACAATAACGCCATTTACATTAGATGAGGATGTTGCGTGGTGATTTCATAGATATCTTATTTACGCATTTGAAATTAATCAAAAAGATTTATAACATTGTGCAACGTCAAATATCAGCATCATCAACTTATTATCTCTAACTGCTTAGACAGAAATCTCTGTGGAATGAAATGGCCTATAACCCAATGATAGGGACCCAATATGGATGCTAATGACTGCAGAAACGGCTGGGAAGAGCGTTCTTTGTGATAACCTCCTATCCCATCCCATCAAACTTCCCATGTATAGTTGTAAATGTGAATAATCATAAATCATAATCAGCTTTCTTATTATATAAATCAACAGGCAATGAATCGTGCCCGCAGCCTCAAACGAGTGAACACTTAGCGGCCATTGAGATTATGAAACTGAAACATATACTCATACTTCAAAACAAGATTGACTTAGTGAAAGAAGGCCAGGCTAAAGAACAACATGAACAGATTGTTAAATTTGTGCAAGGCACTGTTGCGGAAGGTGCTCCCATCATTCCTATATCTGCACAGCTAAAATATAATATTGAAGTGAGTTATTATCCGTAATAAGTATACCAAGTGTTTTATGTATCTCAATAGAGAAAGTATTTAATGACGATGCGACCTTCGAAACATTTCTGTCGCGAAGCGATGACGTCACAATAGATCAGCCCTGCGATTCTGTAAAAATACGAACCTGAATTCAAATACACTCAGGTGTACGAATTCACTTCACAAACGGCATCAAGTTAACCTTGAATTGGTAATAACGTTTCTTGGCCTAAGTGAAGTGAGTTTAGAAATGAAATAGGAATAGAATATCATACTTTATTCATCTTTGAATTTATATCTCAGTATTTGTCCAAATTGAGTACTATATGTGTAAGTATATATTTTCGTGTTATTGTTTAAGTGTATTGGTATGCACCTACCTTTAATTTATATTTAGTCTCCACATCACCTAAAGGTTGACTGGCAGATAATGCCTAAGGCATTAAGTCCGCCTTTGTACATTTGTGCATAAAGTATTAAATAATAAATAAATATCTCAGACATGTATGAATCTATGCGGATTCAGGGTTCCGATTTTTACGGAATCGCTTTGCAGAGTCATTTTCATTACTTGTTCATGTAAAAACTGAAATATTATGGGTACATAATTTAAAAATATATATAATTTTTAGAGATTACAATCAGTTGCACAAACATACAATTCATATTTAATGATCAATTAATGTCAAAATTGTAATGTCGCTATAAACTAATGACAATTTTAATGGATGTTTATGCAATTGGCTGTTATATAAGTATTAACATGAAGAGCCAAAATTAATTTTTTAAATAATTTTTCATCAGAAAATCAGAACGCATTTCACAGATAGCTTATTTCATTGCCATTAGGTTTCACGCAAATGTATCAGACACCTAGCGACGTCTATTCGTCTATTTCGATTTCTTTAATAATGTTTACCATTGTACTTATTCCCTGGAGCCTCAAACAGCATAATTATTGATACAATATCAGCTTACCAAATGAAAACACTTTTCAACAATATTTAAATATGAAACACATTTTTTAAATATTTATTCTATTATTTATTAACGATACTAACACCCGATTTCTGAATTGAGTAATTAAAGTTAAGAACTTCTAAATCTGTACTTAAACAGGTTTTCGTTTCTGATTTTAGTTTTTCTAGTTATATCAGATTGATAAAAACTAGGACTTTTTGCTTTATGAAAAATAAAAAATTAAATTATTGGAAAAAATCAGCAGAGATTTTGTACTTTTCTCAATTCAGAAACCACCCGTAAATCACTGGAAATACCGTGCACTGGTTAAAACCATTTGTTTCTGCTGATATGTCGAAAACTTAAAATTTATTGTAACATACAATTCCTCAGGTACTTTGTGAGTACATTACTAAGAAAATCCCGGTACCGCTGAGAGACTTTACATCTCCCCCGCGTATGATCGTTATCCGTTCGTTTGACGTCAACAAGCCTGGTTGTGAAGTGGATGACCTCAGAGGTGGCGTAGCCGGTGGTTCCATCCTCCAAGGAGTTCTCACCGTTGGAATGGAGATTGAAGTATGTATAACAACTAATATTACAATACGTTAAACGTATGGCGCGATCGAACGGAATTCCGTACGATTACCTTTGTTAGATACATAGGTAATGAGGAAGTATTTAAAAAAAAAAATCCCGAAATCAAACTAGATGTCGCTACGGTACGTTCTTGATTTCTCCATGACAACCCTTCCGGTTTTCTTTCATGTTTAAAAGTAAATTAGATTTCAGAACTCAATATACAACTCGTATTCTATTTGTACTTTTTCGAATTTGTATTGATATCTAAATTTTGAACTTTGCAAATTTCAGTTTATTAATATGTTAGTTAAAAGGAACGGAGATGACTATCTTTGGTCCATTCGTTTACTGCAAAAATCAACTTTTGCTAGAGTCGCCATCTAGTGGAGGGGCATTTTAGTGCTTTCGTTATTTTTTTTAAAACTTCTTCACTAAACTATGACAAAATTGCCTAGATGCATCTGTGCGAGCGCAACAGCTGTATGTTTGCGCTCGAGTGAATAAGATCTGTAGTGCCGGGTCATTGTAGTAAATTCATAATCTACCAATTAGTTCAAATTTTTGCCTTTGATTTCCGACCCTACCTTCGATCCATTAAGGTACATCATTCGTAACGGATTTAATTGCTAAGTATGTAATTTAAAATACGATCATATGTTTAATTTCTGTCGGTCAGTTGCAAAAACGTCCATTAAGGTTTAAGGACGCCTTTAAGCTCTAATGAATGTCCAATTTGTATGGGTAATGTCGCTTTAAACTAATGAAACATTTAATGGACGTTTGTGCAACTGGCTGTATATCACTTAATCGCTTAAGGACCTAACTAACCTTGAAAATCTCAATTTTTAAAGGCTTAATGAGAGTCTGGCCAATGTAAAAAAATATCATTAACTTCTCGATGTATCTGTTGATTTATAGAAATTAATTCATATATAAATTATGGAATTACTCAGTATTTAGATGGTGTACATTTTAATTGATTATGTTTATCGCAAACAAATCCAACATCCATTTAGGCTGACTGGTAGAGGATGCCTTTGGCATTAACTTGCCCATTTGTGATATATTTCATGCGATAAAGACTAAATAAATAATGGATACATCGGTATACAGTATACTGAATAAAGGGCCATTTTCATCAGGTGCGTCCCGGTTTAGTGAGCAAAGATGCCGACGGCAAGTTGACATGCCGCCCAATATTCTCCCGCATCGTATCTCTGTTCGCGGAACAAAACGAGCTCCAATACGCGGTGCCCGGCGGATTGATCGGTGTCGGAACTAAGATCGAGCCGACTCTTTGCCGAGCTGATCGACTCGTTGGACAGGTTAGTATATTGTTAGGTTTCGGGGTAAAATTAATGCCAATTTAATTCATAATCCGACTATTTATTTAACGTTTTAAAATTACAAAAGCTTATAGCTTATACCTATCATACCTTATACAGTATGATAACGAACGGATTCCTGTTTGATTCAAAAAGTCGGACGGATGCATTCATAAAGCACCGTATACGAATCTATACAAAAAATATATATCCATTCCGCATAATAATTCGTTTTACATTTTCCAGCAATCATTTGGGACCCACTAGATACACTTTACCTCTCTCTTTTAAGCATATAACATTTCATTTCTGTGAAAATGTGAAAAACTATCTGAGTTTTGCTTAAATGTACTCTATCTTGTAGATATTTCATCTGAGTAGAACTGCTACTCGTCCCTTTCTCACTGACGTATATGACACACGTAAAATCATGCCGCTGCGCTCCGTAACAGTATTAACAAACTTTTATTTACCTTACAATATGTTTTGTCTAAGTGTGAGTAGCCCGGATGCGTAGTGGTAGCGCCGTAACCTTTGATTGTTGTTAAGCACTTTCACAAGGGTCGGGATGGGATGGGTGACCAAAAATTATTATCTCAAGTTACTCCGAGCTTCGGCAAGAACGTAAAAACTTTGGCCCCGGATGTATTTGCAGTCTATCAGGATGCAGGATGATCGAGGGTTAATACCCTCCAATCCGCATTGGGCCAGCGTGGATTGTCATGGTCCATCCTCTTTAACTGTCATAATAAATTAAGAAAAAAATAAATGGTTTATAGATATTGGAAACTATATTGAGATGAAGTACATAGGAATATCGGTCAGAGAAATTACTTTCTCATACTGAAGTTTTCAGTCATTCCGTTTTGCCATATACAGGTTCTAGGTGCAGTAGGCGCGTTGCCAGGAATATTCGTGAAACTGGAAGTTTCATACTATCTGCTGAAGCGTCTACTCGGAGTACGCACGGAAGGAGATAAGAAAGCAGCTAAAGTGCAAAAATTAACCAAAAATGAGGTTTGTTATGTTCATAAATTAAGTGATAACACGAGAAAAAAAACCGACCGGGTGTGAGTAGGACTCCGTGCCGAAAACGAACAAAAGAATCATGTTTGTTGTATGGGAATCCCCTTTAAATATTTGTTTAATTTAAATTCTTTACTTTTAAAGTTACTATATAAGTTTCATATATATTCTGTAAACAACTCAAGTGTCTATTTGTTGTCGTTGTCAAGGTCGAGCAAAAACAAGCAAAAAAAAAAACACGTTTGTTGTATGGCAGCCCCCTTCAATATTTACTTTATTCTGGTTTTTAGAATTTTTGTTGAAGTGGCAACAGAAATACATCATTTATGGAAAAGTTAAGCCATTGGTCCTGACTGCATTTGCAATCATTAACACCCACCAATCCATACAAAAGACGCGTCTTTTATTCTTGCTATTCTATTACATATATAGGAAAAGCCTATTACCTAGCAGTGGCCACATTAATAGACTGGTAATGGTGATTTACATGGGCACAAAAGTAAATAACGAGCTCTATCATAAAATACTGGAATTCTTTGAGTTGTTGCATTGATTGAAATCGTTTTAGTATGTAATTGCTGACTTTTTTTTTTATTGGAGTATTTTAATTGTTAACTGAAGAGCAGCGACTAGAAATTCAGGAATAATTCATTTGTGTTCACCAGGTTCTTTTGGTCAACATCGGTTCTCTGAGTACTGGCGGTAGAGTAATCGCTACTAAAGCTGATTTGGCGAAAATTGCCCTTACAAATCCAGTCTGCACAGAGATAGGAGAAAAAGTAGCACTTAGCAGAAGAGTTGAAAACCACTGGCGGTAAGTTTATTAAGAAATTATTAGATTGGTACTTTCCACAATCACTCATATCATATCACAAACTGGGTCGTTACCTATTGTAAAGTCATGGTTTTTAAATTAGCTTATATTTCAAATGTTTTATTGCCAAAAAGTATAATACTATAATAATTGTTTAACATCTGTGCTAAAGTCTTTTGATCAAAAGGCTCGAAGGCAGGGTTCGTATATATTATTGTGAAGCTTGGCTCGAATTGCCATTTTCTTTTTTTAAACAAATAGTCTAAATGCTAGCTGAATCAATAGTCAAGATCAACTCATGATATAATTTTAGTTAAAAGATAATTTGTATATTATAGATATCGTATCAATTAGTCTTGTGCCTGCTCGGTCATCTAAAAGAGCGCTCCGTATCGTTCAGTGAACTACTTCGGTATAATAGTTCTATGAGATCAGTGGTGATTATTAGTTATAATTTGCCTGTAAGAAGAGGCAGAAAAGAACTAAAACTCGTTTGGAACTAAATGAACGTACGGTCGACCGTTCAATTTTATAGGGATGATGATGACTTTTTTTGTCTGTCCGTTAGGTAGATTATTGAGAAATATTAATCACGATTTTTTGGTTAATCAATAAATTACGGCGATACATTGTTACATGACGTCACGAGTTTGTACATTTTCTACAAAATTGTGATGTACCGAGCCCCCCTAGTATTAAGGCGCCTATTACACTACCCAATCTATCGGGCACGATATATCGGCCGCGATTTAGGGCGGTTGGTGTCGTTGTTATTACACTGCACTAGATCGCCTCCCTAACTCAGTTGGCATGCAAACGTGGCGTTGAAAGGATGGCTCCTTCGCTCACAAAGTACCAAAAAATTGGCATAGCCCATACTTTAACTGCGGGCGTAAATAATAAAACAAAATGTTGGGTGAAAAATTTTTGCTTCCAAGAGACCAACTATGCAGTTTGAACTACTACAGAATGAGTTCTGCACAATTTGATCATATATTAAACTTAGTCATACCTTATATAGCGCAAAACAGCGGTTAGCTGTGCTGTTACCTTAAAATTTTTAGCAACGGGAAATGCATATCATGACTTAAAGTATAAATACTCAATAAGTTTATTGTTTCCATAGATAATTTAAAATAATATTACATAATTAAGTTGGTCTCACTATGGACCCTATCGGGCACAACAATAATATAAAGTTTATTATAGCATTAGTTTTTATTATTGTAATTTATATAAAATTTATAATTGTACCAGACACATGCAAAGGCTATCTAGAAATGTTTAAAACATTATATCATATTGATATATAAGAAAAAGTAATAATATTAAATTACATTTAATATTATTTCTTTTCCTTTTGAGAAAACATTTTTGTCTGTTCGCAAATTTCGTTGTCGTTCACTGACGTCTCACACGCACGCTGCGCAACAACCGACTGAGCGCTCTAACACCCTAACAGCGATCACATTACCCAATAAATCGGCCCTAACTCTCATCGGGCGATCGGGCGCCCACGTTCACCCGATATCGGGACCCTAACTCTCTAAATGCGATTAGACTACCCAATTTACAGTGTACCCGATGGATTGGGCCCGATAGATTGGGTAGTGTAATAGGCGCCTAAATCAAATAAACTCCCTTAACTGGTAATAAATTATATCTTTAGTGACATGGTTATTTTATACAACTAACTTACAAAGATCTCTAGAATGTGTGACTGTGTCTATTTTTGAAAGAAGGGATCGGGCAACTTTCTAAAAACATTTTTGATCGGATTTGTGCTTATTGATAAAAAATAATATTTTCTGTAAATAAACCTCATCATTTTAGTCAAAGTCATCACATTAATATGTACCTACATCGGGATGTTCAACAATGTTTCAAAACCAAATATTAGGTCGTTACCTATGAAATTGCCGTTTTTCATGAAATAAATGAAGCGTATTTTTTTGCTATATTTTTATTTCTATTTATCAAAGTAATCACCTTTGCCAACGCATTGGTAAATTATTGATGCCCTTTTTGAAGAAATCAGCTAGACAAATTCTTCAAAGGCATTTTGTACTGCCTCTCGGGTATTGTTTTTTTTTTCCTGCCAGGAAATTATCCAAATTCTGGAAAAGTAGAAGTTTTGTAGGCGCAAGGTTCATTGTACTTCATTGTGTACAGTTCTTCATAGTACACATCTGCAGTAATGCTCGTCCCGTTTGCTAAGAAGCTGTGATGAATTACACCCGCATTAGACCACCAAACAGTGATTATCACGTTTCTAGGGGTAATTTTTCGTTTAGGGCATTGTTTGGGTGCTGAACCAGGGTCCAACCAACTTGGTGAGCGCTTACGATTGTCGATCAGGATCCATTTCTCGTCACAAGTAACAGTGCGGTTCAGAATTCCTTCATTTGTCAAGTGTTTTTACCTTATCAATTTGACGTAAATATTGTTTTGATGCTAACGTCGAAAGCTGCTGCTAATTCAGCCGTAGATTGAGTTCATCAGCTTCCACAAATCGACCACGGGGTTCATTTTTCAGGTCAAAATTTCCAGATCGGTAGCGCACAAACCAATAACAGGTGGTGCGTTCGTTTGTAGTGTTCGCTCCGTAAAAGTCGTTGATGTTGCGTGCCGCTTGTGCCGTTTTGCTGCCACGACGACGGCACTCATGTCTCATGCTCCATAATTACACGATTTTTAACTTATCCATGACGACGAAAAATGCTCGAATGCGTTGAAAACAAAACACCAACTATTAAACAAATGGCGATTTAAGAAAAAATAATCCCATGTTTTTTAAATAAAATTAATTTGAAATGAGAATTGTCAGCCAAAAAATATTTTGTTTTGAAATGGACAGTACGGCAGAACGGCAATTTAATAGGTAAGACCTATTATTATTCCACCTTATTCTTGTAGGCATGCAAATTTTAATAATAAACTAACAATAATTAAAAAAATATATAAAACACATTCATCGTGCATTTTATCATTATATTTTCTTACTTTTAAATATTTATGGCAGTTTTATTGTCAATAAATAGCATTATTATAACTTCATATATTCTGTAGATTTTAAATTACATGTCAATAAATTTTAATTCAAGTTCATATATTTCATTAATCATTATTCTTACAATGCTTATGATTAGATTCCATGTATTCTTGAATTGAATAAAAATTCCTGTCTAGAAGTCATTGATATAACATTTTTTAGAACATGTTATTATTTATTGGCAGATTTATTAGATTCAATGGCAATTTATTAATAATCTTAATGGCCATGTAAAATAAATTTTCCTTGAATATTGTCAAGTTACACTTGGGTATTACAATTTTGCTTTTCCTTATTCTACGTGCATTTGTTTCGAAATTCATTTTAAAATATTCGGGATGTTTTTTGACACTACATTATTTTGCTGCGTGAACAGGTTTAAAACAAGTCCATACTGAAAAAAATAAATAAATAAACGTTGATTTGAAGTTAAATTGATTTATTTTATTAGATTTACTGAACATATTCTTCATATGGCATGTAGCGAAGAAAATACAATAGTCGAACCGAATATATTCGGCACCAAAACCGAATAATTCAGCCGAATACAAATAGTAAAAAAGATGCCGAATACTGAACGAATATTCGGCGCATCTCTACTTTCAACCTTGCACACTAGACCGATGATCAGTCGCGTACTGATACGTTAAACGCAGCTTCCCTCAGAATCGCACCAACCTTATATTGTTCGTTTGTGGAAATAAATAAACAGATACCACAACACAATATTTGACAGTAACTTCATTCTATTTTCAGATTGATTGGATGGGGTCAGATTCAAGGTGGAGAAACTATTGAACCTGCAAAAAATTAGTCATTAAGTTGAGTATTTACTTTTATACAAACTTGTAATATTATATTTAATAAAAATAAAAGTAATGATATTAAACATTTGTCTTTCATTTTGAAATCATAAGACATTTTATGAGTAAATAATTTATTTGATTTAATTTACATTTGAGATAAAGCATATTAGGCCATATATATAAAAGTGTTGATATCTTCATCATCCCGACGCATGTACTTGTGTTCAATTAGCCATTCTAATTGTTCTTTTATCATCTTCTTTGAAGGTAAAAACATGTTCTTCAAGATTTCAACAAGCTCACTCTGTAAAATACAATGCAGTTACAGACACGTTCATTTCTTATCAAGTCACAGTCAATTATTTAAAAAAGTTGTTCAATTGAATGGTTAGACAGTGCCATTGTGTTGCATGGCTAAATGTCGATTACCTAAAGGAGCGTCCATAAATTACGTGAGATGTTTAAGGGGAGGGAAAGGGTCGAGGCAAATCTCATCTAATCTTACGTTGGAGAGGGGGGGTCTCGGCAAATATCACGCATTTTTTTTTCTGATTGAAAAAAAAAAATACTATTTTGGTCCATTTAATCCAGATTGTACATGCTTAAGATTTAATCTTAAGCGTAATCGTATACGATTAAGTTCAAAAGAAAATAATTTCATTCATACTTCGACGCTTATACATCTACTGAATGTCAAACCACCATATTTGTAGAGTTCGAACGATACTTTCGATACCGAGTAGGTATCGATACTTTCAAAAGCGATACTCGATACTGAGTACTCGATACTACAACAAGGTAAATACTCACAAGTATTTTGAAAAATCTCACGTGAGATCGGTGGATGGGGGAGGGGGTTGAATAAAATCTCACGACATCTCACCAGGAGGGGAGGGAGGGACAGAAAATTTAAAAAACACCTCACGTAATTTATGGACGCCCCCTAAGTAGCTGTACATATCAGTGATGTAATGGATATTTGGGAAATTTCGTAGTTTTAGTTATTATACTCATTTTTGAGTAGTTTTGATAGCAAAATACGAATAGGTTCAGTAAGATACAAATCATGTGGCTAATCAATGTACCTGCATAGAAAGCTTCATTTCAATAAGGTAAATGTCAACCAATCAGAATAATTTATTGGGTGATTCACCAATATCCCTGAACCAGACTTCCACTGAGTGAAATGGACACCTAATACCTTGTATTTTATACCTTATAGTTATTGAAACAAAGCTCACTATAAATAAATTTTAATTGATCACACATTTTTTTAAAATATCACTACTGTATCTGGGGTCTTTTAAACAATTTAACTATTCTATGAATTCTTGCAATTATAGTACTTTGCTCTTAATAGTACAATAAAATAAAATCAGTATGCACCTCTATTCCATAAATTTTTAAATAAAAGAGATTTCTTTCCTAAGGAAAATGCTTATAAAATTCAACCCATTTCCAGTTACAGTTATGAAGCTCTTTTACATCCCTGGTTACTAGCTCTGGCAGTATCAATAGTATTTTAAGATTAGTTTTTTGTTATAATGCAATAAAGTACTATTGCTTCCAATCAATACTGTTACATACTGATGAAAAGATATATTACATTAAAAACAATGTAAGAAATAGTCTTACCTGGAGAGCAGTATTTGTTATACGTTTTCTCATCTTCAATATTTTGATGATTGCTTCTTGTGTTCTCAAAATTCTTAGCTGTACAATAGAATGATTATCTTCCAACTGAGACCTTTCAGTACTTAATTGTAGTCTTCCAATTAAATTAATTTTACCCCTTCGTTGTGGTTTTCCATTCTTGACAAGGGCAAACTCTTGATTAATCCAAAATGTTGTGTTTTGAGCAAAGTCTTTTGGATTTTGAACAGTTGGTTCATAACATAATAATTGTCTTTTTAGCTTAGGGAACGCAACTAAAGACCACAAAGTCCTTCTTAATTCAGGATCTGGTAATTCTGTAGCAAGCCTCAAATTTTCATAGCTTATTTTTTCCAGTGGTCTTTGATTCCATGCAAATAGAACTGCCATTTGAAATGTAGTCACATCCAAATCAAATCTACCCACTGAATTGGCAAAAGTTATGGTGCCATTACTCATATGATGATACCACTGCAATTTACGACCAGAATGTTTTTTCTTATAAAACTCCTCCACCTCAGGTATGTAATCTTCAAGTTCTAAAGGAAGACTCACAGTAACTCTTTCAGATCCTCGGGCCCAAGCTCCAGCATTAAGGATTTTAATATTTATTGCATCATGGCGAGTGGTTTCACCTCTAAATTGTGTATTAAGGTCCTCACTGACCTTAATATCTTGAAACATTCTAGCCAATTTATTCACATAATCTGCTGGCATACCAACTTCACGAAGCCATTCAACCATATCTTCTTCTTTTTCAGAGTCAGCACTAGAATCTAATATCAATCTTCTAGTTAAATGTGCTTTATGGTATCTCATGAATACATCTTTGTTCTCTATGTACTTTAATACTAACAATACATCCCTAAGTCGGGATTCAATTTGTTCACTAGTTAACCGTTTACTTAATGGTGTTTTACGCAACAACATATCACAGTAATTAGCAAGAAGTTCAGGACATTTGCTTTCAGGGGCAGTCCCTTTACTACCACGAATTAAAGCTGAGGAAGGTAATTCTAGTTTAAAAACTGTTGTATCATTGACAACACATTTGTATGCCTTGTCTCTAGCAGTTAAAAACCGTGGATCATCCAAAAAGGCATCCTTAACCAATGTGCTAAAAGTTTTAAACAGATCTAACAAGCGCTCAACATATTTTTCTGAATCTGTAGTTATGATATCAGCAGATGCTACCATGTCAGCTAGCCCTGCTGACACTATGTGAGCTTCTAAGTCACGAAGTATTGGTGTCACACCCTCTGGCACTCTGTCTAACAAACGAAACATAAGTTGAAGTTTCTCTGTCTGTCCTGCTTTAATTAGCGGTGCACTTTCAGCCAACAATGTAGGCAAGTGTTCTCCAATAAGCACTTTTTCACAACACTGCGTGAGAGCAGCCACGCTACCACTGCCTGGTTCAAGATATCTATGAGCTCGAGCTTCCTCTTCTTTTAATCTCTGATCAGCATACTTCATATATGACTGCACTCCATTAGATAATAAGTGTTCATTAGCTTTTAGTTTATAAAATTCTTCTGTAGCTTGCATATAGGCTGCTTCAAAATTATCTCTATATATTTGCAGCTTGTCAACAGGGTTTGAGCACAGGTTTACTGAAAATATATTTTAATCATCACATGTTCTAAAATAAATAAGCTAAAAATAAACAAATTAGATAATTATCAACTCATTATAATATTTACCATATGATTCCCTGACACCAATAACAAGTTGAGAATCAAATGATTCTCCATTACGTTCTGCCTGTACTAATTTCATAGCAGAATCTTGGAGTCTTTGTTTGATATCCATAAAAATGCTTTGATTCCAAGAATCTAACATGAGTTTCCGAACGAGACTGTCCTCTATGTTATTGTTATTATTTTTCTTCTGCGAATTTGATGTACTAGAACTAGTGACCTTACTGATATTATTTATAGAATTTTCTAATTGCCGAAACGGTGTAGGCAAATAATTACATTGCGTGAAAAACTTTCCCCATTCAGCTATGTATGCCTTTAAAAGGGCCTGGTCTTCTCTTTGAGCCAGCACGCGAGCTTGGGCTTGCTTGATATACATCATAATGTCCTGTTGGAGAGCATCTCTCAGTTTATAAGGTCCCCGTTCATCCCATAAGCAGACTGAGTGAACAGCACCAAATAGATCTTGCCATTCTATTTGTGTTACCGGTTCTTGTTTTAGAAGCTTCAAAACTATAGGACGCATCGTGGGCCATTTATCTTCGAAGGTGACTTGGCCTTTATCCTGGAACAAGGTTAGTTACTAAAATATGATTTTTAAATTACTGATCTAACAGGAATTGTATTACCTTTAACATGGCTGAAATTATATTAATCTTTTACAAAAACAAGACTGAACTCTATTTTCATAGTCAAATTCATTTAATTTTAACACCACCGATCAAACACAGCAGCGAACAACACATAAACACAGACCCAATACTTTACTCTCTGCACAGAGCACATGCTGACTATTGCTGTGTCATTGAAGTTAAGAAAAAGACCACCGTAGCTTTTAAGTAAAAAAACGATTTCAATTATTTGTCGCCTGAGAATTGGACATGTGTGTACGCCGGTTGGACTTGCCAAATTTAAAATTAAAGACAACCCCCTCTGCGATTGTGGCATTGAGGAAGGAACTACGGATCATATTTTATTTAATTGTTCAAATTTATCCATTTCGCTTTATGATTTGCTACCATCAAAAGTTCCACGTCCAACAAATATAAAATGTATCTTGAGTATGGAGAATCCCAGCCCATTCAAAATTTTAGCAAAATTCTTTGCAATCAATAATAGTCTTAATTTATAAATATATTTGTTTTCTATATACATTCTATTTGTATTATCTTTAACAATGTAATCAGATAGACGCGCTCAGAGCTATTTTTTTTATTTTATTGAAATTCAAAATTTTACATATTTTACTATTGTTTCTATACGTGTAAAGACCACAAACGTGACATTGGCGGAATTGTGTAAATGCAAATAGGCCATGAATTAAAAAAGAAGAAGAAGAAGACCACCGTAGACAGCTGTCTACGCTGACCACTGACAAATGCATTAAATAATTCTTATAACTCGGACAAATTACCGACATACAGACCAACTATAACTATAATAATTACCTTATTTTTTTTAACTATAATAGATAACGCCTCGTATACTAAAACAATACTCAAATACGACACCACACATAGCGGTGACCCAAGGAACACAATACCACATAGTATATGACTCCTAAATGACTAAATTGACGATGAACTGATATGACTAAACTCCGGAACTGGGACAATATTGAGTTGCGATGTAATTTTTTTTTTTAGTAAATTATTTAAAAAAAGAAAGCACAAAAAAAACACCTCACTAGATGCCGAGTCTAGCAAAAGTTGACTTTTGCAGGAAACGAATGGAATAGTAATTTCTAATGGTGTGCGGAATCGATTACCATTAATCAATAAATCGATTTTTCAAATAATCAGTTGCTATCGATTGTGATTTCATAATCGACGATTAAACATCGATTATTTCTTAAAATGTTAGCAATAGATCTAGTTTAAAACGTTGGTGTAGTACCTACTTACTTTACTTCGATGGCTCAGCAACCCATAGCGGATCGCGAGTGTGAATATTATTAGTAGATATTCTATTACTTATTATGGCAACCCTGGAATACTCCCACGAACATTTGAACTTTACTCTTTGGTCAGGGAACTCCCGATGAATGAATGAACGGATCTTTATTTTTATTTTAGCAAATTAACCGTTTTTTACTAAATGCACATGTTATACACGGTACATACCTAAACCAAAATAATATTTTTTTACATTTTTGTCTACCCATTTTGACGGAACTTTCACTGGCAGATTATGAAATAAGGAATTTAGGCTACCTTCCACGCGAAATTGCGGGTACAGCTAGTTTAATTCTATAAATTTTGCATGCACATTAATCTGAAATCATTAATAAACTTTCGGGGTAAAAATATTTAATAATCGTTGACGTAAATCGATTATAAACGATTATTAATCGATCACGAGTAAAACTATATTCGATTAATCGATGTGTTTAATAGTCGAATCGGCACATCATTAGTAATTTCCGTTCCTTTTAATTAACATATTAAAAAAACTGAAATTTGCAATGTTTAAAACTTAGATATCAATATAAATACGAAAAAGTACAAATAGAATATGAGTTGTCTATTGAGTTTTAAATTGTTATTTAAGATACGAGTGCGGAAAGTAAGGCTTTACGAAGAAGGGCCAAATTGAAAACACGGGCGAAGCGAGGGTTTTCATTGGCACGAATTCGAAAAACCTTTTACGCTCAAGTTTCTTACAACATTTTTCAATGCTTTTTGCGAGGAAATAAAACAAATATATCGGTTAATAAAACTAAATATGTATTAAAGGTAAAAATTATTTGTTAAAATTAAACGTGATATTTGAACATGTTTTCTTGTCGTACATTTTTATTTGAAAATATTCGTTCTAGGCTCCTTGAAATACTTTTGCCTCTAAAATTTGACATATTTTCATAATTTTTTTTAAATTTCTTTGGTGCTCGGCCAAAAAAAAATAAAAAAATACTTTTAAGCACGTGTGCAATAAAGGATTTCAGTACATTTTTATTTAACACGTGTTTAAAAACTCACTTTCGGTGTTTACAATGGATTACAATAATAGCGCTTTAGGAGCAACTGCATTGAAAAATTAATTTACTTTCATACATGAAAAAAAACCGGAAGGATTGTCATGGAGAAATCAAGAAAGTCCCGTAGCGATCTAGTTTGATTTTGGGTTTTATTATTTACTTATCGAAGTAAGTAGGTACTATACTAACGTTTTAAACAATTCCTATTGCTAATGTTTAAAGAAATAATCGATGGTTAATCGTCGATTAGGAAATAATAATAGATAGCAACTGATTATTTGAAATATCGATACATCGATTGATAGAAATCTTTCCGCACACTATTACTCTGAACATGAACTGTCAACAAGTGTATTTTAAACAAAGAGTAATGTAATATAAAAAGGGAAAGAGTAGCAACTCTACGGAAAATTTTGCATGTATGGAAAGTGCTGCCAGCTGGAGTTTGGTCAGTGAACTATTTTTGCCAACTATACTATACATAGATAGCTTTTACATATAGATATATTTTTGTATACTTGCATATATATATAGGTATTATCTATAACTATTCTTAACTTCGTATTTATAGTCGAGAAGTAATTATTTGAGAATATGTCTATTGGCAAAAGACATTTGCTTGTTAAGACATTTTCTCAAATAATTACTTCTCTCGACTATAGATAAGAGTGTTTAAGATGTTTTTATTGTAGGTAATTGGAAATTAGTAAAAAAATAATTTATATAATTATACCTTTATTAAATATTACATTATTTCTTAGTGGCATAACTTTTATGTTTATTATAATACTCTGTAGCCGCTTTTTTTTAATATTCGTCTCCTTGGTAGGACATTATTCCATCTAATATTCTATTTATATTGCTCTGCACCAGCTATAAATAATTATGTTTATAGATAAATCAGTGAAATATTTGGTGATGCTATCTTTATGTTTATCACAATTTAAAAAAGCAAAATTAGAAAACATTTCTAAAAATTATTTGATTCGATGTTTTAAAAATCTTTCATGGCAATTACTATTGAGAAATACAAATGTAACATTTTGGATTTCTTGAAAAGAAGCTAATAAATCATCTGACGGATAACAAAGCCACATCTTATTGGTTTTGTATTCTTTGGCTTTAATGTATCGGTTTGTTTCTTTATCTGCGAGACCTAGTAACTTACTTTTACAATTTTTACAACCTTTTACAATTGTTTGCAGACATTTGGCTAAAGCCCACCCACAAATATATGCTCTTTGATCAGCCCCTGCATCTGAAATGCTTTTATTATTTTGTATAACATTCAAAGCTTGATCTAAAACGATAGTATGAGAATGTGAGGGAGCATCACTTATATTCTTTATGAAGAATTTCAGAGATTTGAGACATTTATTTGTATCTTCTTTGCAATTAAAACAACAAGATCATCCGTGTAAACATTATAGTGAATGTGTGGAGATATTGACATTTCATCAAATATTAATGTACACAGACAATCTTGATATAACATTTTCTTTACACTTATTTTTAGTTCTTTAAAAACTTGTTCATTTATACCTGGTGACAATTTAATTTGAGCAAGTAAAGATTTTTGAGATGGAAAATTGAAATGCTTACACATCAGTTTATAAGCCTTAGAACTTTTTTTATACAATGAAAGGGATAATATTTTTCTTCCTACATAAATCTACGAACATTCTTTTTCTTTTGTCCCTCTTCAAACTGCATCCTTGTAAACATCTTTGCAGATTTTGACATGTTCTTTGTTAGTTTTTTGAAATCCTTTTTGACACTGTTTTTTTCATGTACCATCAAAGACATTCTTATTTTCCTAATTTTTCGCCGTAATCTATAGATTTTATTTTTCTTCTGTCTTTGTTTCTTCACACACTTTTTGTCCTTTTCCTTTTCTAAAAATTCAAGTGTTTTACCTGAAAAGCATAGTTCTATTTAGTTTTCTTTTAATTTTTGCAAAACATTCATATTTATGAGAACACAGTAACAGTAAAGGCTTTATAGTTATCATTCACGTCTTATAGCAAGCTAGTAATAATATATAACACTACAATTTTAGAGTAGATAAATGAGAGAAATATTTGATTTTGTTTATAAAAAAATCATGAGATTTTTGGTCATTTTATGATTCCAATAACTAGATAGTATACAGATGTCTATGAACCGATTCAATATCAGTTTAATATAACTAAAGACTTCTATATATGTTGTACTTTCATAACATATCATTTAGTTATCCCTTACCCTTTACAAAACCTAAACAATTATGGTGTCACAATTTTAATTCTGAATAGCTTGGCTAATAGTATACATAGAAGGCTTTGAATTTAACATATAATTTTATCTTTACATTGTTTAATTAATAAACAAAATTGATGTTAACTGAAACTACATATATATTTATGGAGTTTCAATAAATATAGAATAGGTATGTTGTAAATAAATAGAAAAAATATGTTACCTGAATCAAATTTGGATTGTGAAACTTGAGGATGACATATTTCACTTGATGTAAATGGACCAAGCTGAAAGAGCCTAGATGGACCAGATCAAAATTAGTTGTCAACAAAGTTACGCAATAGCCCTGCAGGTTTATTGACATCATTTTGTATGTTAGTTACATCGGATCAAAGTGTAGAATGTGAAAATTCCCTTCTAGAATGACAGTAGTTATGTTCAATATCCATTAAAATATTTATAGATTGTTTCACACCTAAAACAACATTCATTACATTAAAAAAGTTCATCTTTCTTCATTATGAATGTAGTTTGTTTAGCGCTACCATTTGATTATCTATGCCACATTCAAAAAATACATTGACAAATTTGATAACTTGAAAGGAATTCAATGATAGTAAATAGATATATGGAGTAGCTCGGTGGCATAGTGGATAAGCGCCGCGTCCCGCGATCGTAGTCGTTAAGCAACTTTCGCAAGGGTTGGTCACGGGATGGATGACAAAAAAATGATTATCTCCAGCTACTCTGTGCCGTTAGGCTGTTGGTCCCGGCTGTATTTGCAGTCGTTAATACCCTCCAATCCGCATTGGGCCATGACCCCCATAAGGAAGGCCCGAGCCAAAATGGGAACATTAAAGGGCTGGTGATTATGATGATGAAATAGATATATAAACATACGATCGAAAATTGTCGGTACAGCTGACCAAATGAGACGTCCTCCAGTAGTCTTAATCTTCGTCTTAAAATGATGATCACATATTCTCTTGTACTTATAAATTTTTTGAGGATTGTTTTCACCAATATTCTCACTAACTGCAGACACCCAAGCAGTAAATAATGCGGGGCGCTTATCGGGATTTGGAAATCGATGGAGAGGTACATTTTGGATAGCTGAAATAGTAATGTTAATGACGAAAACTTAATGTAAACATTATTCACATCATTTAAATCCTGTTTAAGGCATCTCGATGTAAAGCGACATAAAATGAAGCTTAAATATTTTTATTGCTTGGGTGAAATCATAAATCATTTAGACTCACTTACTTAAGCCAAATATGCAATATTTCTTCTGAACTCCACTCATTATTACGAAAGTAACCAAAAGAAATAAACAAGAAAACACAGTTTTAACAAAGAAAATAACAAGAAACTTAACAAAAACACTAACAATATAAGATTTTAACAATAACAAAAACACCGAGAAATTCAACAAGCGCATCACCATCTACAAACAAGCCAGACAGAGAGAAATAGACCGGCCATATTGTCTGTCAAATAAATTTGACAACCAAAGCTTCACCAACCAATCTGTAGATGTCGCTGTCGACTACGAAAATTGGCATACTGTGAAGAGTGCCCCCCCTGATTTTAAACATGTTTTAAACCTCGCTTCCCTTCCTCATTAGTTTGGATTTGTTCATAAAAACTGCGTTTGTTTAAATTAGTTTTATTAGTCCAAAATTGGTAATAATACTAATGTAGATAGAAGTTATATGGATAGTGCAATCTTATAAATCCTGTTACACACTTGAAAATACAGAATGACTACTTATGGAGAAATCGTAGAACCTGTTTCTCGAACTGCTTGGGAAGACTGGGATGATATTACTTTTGAAAACAGTTACATTAAGTAAGTTAATTTAGACGAAAGTACAATAGAAAATAAATAAATAATCTGTCTTAACAAGCATACATGTCATTCATTATATTAGATAAAAAATAGGCTGACAAAAATTGTCTTGTCATTGTCTTGAATCTTAAAATACTTAAATATTTCTTTTTTGTATAGATTGGATTGGATGCTCAAAACAACAGTTCCAGATATCATCAATACATTAGTTCTATTAGAAGGGAAATACTTGTATGACTGTGTCAAAAATCAATCAGATAATGTTTTGACAATGATAAATTCAATCAAAGAAGTTAATTTAAATGTTCATAAGCATCAACAGTTGAACCTGTACATATGTGTTATAAGAGATTATAACTTATTACAAAGTAGTGAAATAGTTGAAATATTGAAGCCATACATTCTTGTGAGCAAGAATGTTGTAGCAATCCAAACAAAACCATTAATTGAATTTCAGACTCATGAACTTATAAATAAAAGCTGTTTAATTAGAACTATTTGTTCAACTAAAACTTCAAATTTAAATTTTGACTATCCTAAATTACAACAGCCTAATTTTATCTCAGGAGTGTCTGCAGGAGGTAAGTTTTTACTAGATTTTGTATATACAAATAGACAGTGCTATCTCAGAAATATGCATAAATATATGAAGTTAATTAAATTGATATATATATATATATATATATATATATATATATGTTTAATATTTATTTATTGAAACTTTATTACAATATAGTAAATAACAGATTAATACCATACAGAATTCTTTACCAGTTAACAAAGAAAACAAACAATGGATTTAATAACAATAAGATATTTACATAAAAATACACACATTTAAACTATAAATATACAATACATAAATAAATCAGTTACAAAGGGGCTTATTTGCAAGAATGAGATAGAATTCATGGACCAGTTCCTTAAATACAAATTTGTTGGGAGCTTTCTTAATGTTAAGGGTTTCTTAATGTTCATCCTTATCTTAATATATATTATATTTGCAGCAATTTGCCTAAGAGAGCAATTGGACCTTCCTGGAACAGCAGTTGTTTGTTATATGGAACACCCAGAAGTTTATAAAGTCGAAGAGATTCAAAAACTTTTAAAGGAGCTCAAAGTAATATCTAATGACAATTCAGGACCAGACAATGTGTTTAATTCTAACTTATATATTTGATAAATAAAAGTATTTATTGTTTTAAAATGAATATTCTTTTTCAGTTAACTGGTTGAGCCCTTTTTGGTATAACGACGGCGAAGTGCCAATACCTCCTATCTAACATTTTTCGAGAAAATGACTTTTTTATTTCATTGACGTTAAGGTCGTTTTCCACATGGGTTCATGAAATCACCTATCCGTATTTTTTACGACAACTGGAGAAAAATGAATGTGGAAATAGCTTCTAACTAAATGAGACTGCTCCAAATCCGGTCCTGAGGTAGGATGTGGAATTCATGGAGAAACCCCAAAGAAGGCTATAAGTCTGAACATGGGAAAGTACTCCTCAATATTCCAGGCAGAGGTGTACGCCATTTTGGAATGTGCGGCAGCCAATCTGCAAAATAACTACCTCAATCATACTATCTACATCCACTCTGATAGTCAAGCTGCACTCTTAGCACTAGCTTCCGACATAACTAGATCGAAGCTGGTAGAGAACTGCAAACAGACATTGAACTCTTTGGGCAACAACAACAAAGTAGTTCTACGATGGGTTCCAGGTCACGCTGGACTCGAGGGCAATAAACAGGCGGACAAACTGGCGAAGAAGGGTGCTAAAGACGCCCTTATCGGACCAGAACCTTTCTGTGGCATCCCTCAAAGCCTAACCCAGCTCACCTTGAAAACATACTGCCACTACGCAGCTATTCAACTATGGAGAAACACTCTAAGACCCTGATTAAAACCTTCAACGAAAAGGCGGCATCAGAGACCTTAAACTTAACCAAAAATCACCTTCGCACACTAGTACGAGCACTCACAGGGCATTGTGGACTGAACAGACACATGTACAATATGGGGATCAGCGGCAGTAGAATGTGCAGAGGATGCAAGGAGGAAGAAGAAACACCTTTGCACATTTTGACCGATTGCCCGTCACTAATGCGAAAACGATGTATTTATCTGGGAAAGCACGTGATGCACCCAGACGATATTAAAGAACTTACGGCCAAGAAAATACTACAGTTCCTTGTAGAATGTAATCTTGACCGTGAACTGTAGTATGTGGAGATCACAATAGATCAGCAATGGTCGCAGTGATACTGGGCTGCATAAACCCAAGATAATCCGCAACTCGAAACAATACAACAATATCAATCGTAAAAGAAATTTTTCAAAGTAATTATTGTTTTAATTAAAATCAATACCTTCTATCGTACAATTTATTTAATGAAATCACTGAGGATGTTAAACCAATACCTTCTATCTAACCAAATACATACTAAACGATTATTAATCAAATTAATATTTTATTTAAACCTAAGCCTGTCATATTGATATGTGCTCCATATAAATTGATTTCTTGATTTTAACGTTTTCAAGAAATTAAACATTTTTTTCACTTTGTGTAAAATTTTGTCTGTGTTAGTTAGAAGGTATTGGCACTTCGCCGTCGATACGCTATTGAGCTAAAATGAACAATGTCATTAAATAATAGAAATCACAGTTACATTGCTACTTGAGCAAGATCAAGCCATTCTCTTCTGTAATTTATTTATCTTTATGGCAGTTGTGAAATTGCATAAAAAACATAGTACGTAATATATAATAATACACTATCACAATAGTCTAACACCCGATTTCTGAATTGAGAATTTAAAGTTAAGAATGTCTCAAATTGTACTTAAAATTCACTTAAACAGGTCTTCATTTCAGTCTATAGCAGTTGTATAAAACTACATCTTTTTGAGTAGTGAAACATAAACTTCAGTTATTCAGAATAGTCAGTTGTGATAATTAATCTTGTATATTATGACTAAATGCTAGAATTCTGAGTTTACTCGAGAGCGAGACAGACGATGCGAAGACCGCAAGCGTGCATCCGCGCTCTAGTAAGGCGCTAGATTCTTATTTCTACGGATTGTACGATGCAACTTACGACCGCCACCGCCGCACTTCCTGAGAATTTGCGGCTTGCGCTATAGTTGTCGTTTTATTAAAAACACGAAATATGATCTTAGATATTTATTAAAGTATAACATCAACACATTCAACACCAATTTAGGATAGAGTAATTTATTGAAATTAATGCAATAAAGCAGAAGTCCAAACTATTAAACTGAATATGATATCAACAATAAAACATAAAAGAAACCCCATATTACAAAAATACTTATATATTAGTTGGATATACTTATTACACAAAAAAACTAACATTAACTTTATAATACAAAAGCACAGCCTATTGAATCGCAGACACAGTTATATGTTTGGTTTAGTTTATTTTTTTACAAAACTTAGTATGATGACACAAGATTCGACCATAAAGGGGCGAGCTTTTTTTTATGAAGCGTAACTTTTCTCCCCGCCAAAGCTTCACCACTGGATATTGTTAAGTTTTCCGAAAAACCTCACCACAACATCTTCTACTGAGATTTGCGGAAACAGTTTGTATTACAAAAGCTAACGTTTTATTTATAGTATTACATACTTTTAGAGACATGATAAATTAATATTCATGTAAATAGTATTTTTATAATGATATCTCTTGTTACATTGAATCGTGGTTATATAAATTTTTGTACACTATTCTTACATTAAAAAAAAAGATATTCTACAAACATAAACTTGTAATATTATATCAACATTAACAAAAAAATACATTTTATACTTAACGATATCATTTCACGTATGTATTCAGAAAGTACCACAAACCTACTTTTTCAATTACAATCCTTATATCACTTCATTCAGATGATAAATTCAAGCCATTGGGGTAGCGTAGTGTTGTGCAAGGTACCAAACTATACTGTTAAACAGTAGAATCATACTTTATAAGTTGCAACAACTCTCAAAAATTAAACGATTATAATTATAACTTTTGGAATACACGAAAAATATTTAACCAGTCCTGCAATTCTGTAAAAATCCGAACCCGAATTCAGAGTTTATTCATAGGTCCGAATTCGCGTCATTTAATAAATAAAATCTATTGATCCCATTTTTTATATCAAAATACAAAACAAAATTGATTAATTCTACGTGTCTCAGATATTCTATCCCTATATTATTTCAAAACTCACTTCACGTATGCTCCGAAACGTTATTACCAATTCGAGATTAAGAGGATGCCGCTTTTTGGAGAGAATTCGAATTCGAATTCGAGTCTGAATTTTCACAGAATCGCAGGGCAGGGATGAATTAGAAGTGATCGTGATCTGTAAACTTAAACCTTAACTCGTATTCCATCGTCTTTAGCTTACAATCCTCTGCATAGATAACCGATGCTAATTATAAAGACTGTAAAACTGTAACTTACGTGTTTCTATAGGTTCATATTTAGTATAAAAAATTGAAAGTATTTGCAATGAATAAACCAAAACCTTATTTACAAATAAAATCAATTTCATCTGATTATTGAGACAGTTATGACTAATTATTATTTTATTAACTATAGTTATAATTGCAGATCTATTCTAAGTTTAAAATCTATTAATATCCATTATTTAAGGTGATGCTAAATTGCAGTCATTAAATGTTATCGAATAGAATGCTATAACATTATGACACGCATTCGATGTTTTCGAAGCTCCTTAACCTAATAGAAGCATTGTAATTTGACCAGTTCAGATCTACGTTCTGGGAATACAAAAAAGGAAGTTTACCCATTTGATTGACATTTATAGTTTTTACTAAAAAATTTATTACGAATCGTTAATAAGCGTTCAATAACTTCAAATGTACAACACTGCAGTATAGCAACACCATTACTTACAAATCCTATATTAAAAGTTATACCTATAAAATTATTATAATGTAAGAAAATTATTTTATATAAGCATAACATTTCCAAGTTCTAACGCAACTACTTTCATCGAGGTTATTTATATTAGTTTCATGATGAGACATTTAACACGCCAGATCCTACGGCATGTCATACGTCCGAGAAGGCTTTGTGACAATAACAAAAGTAGAAAAATTATTTAAAACAATATGTTTTATTCCCATGCACAGAAATTGAATGCCTACTGTTTTTATTATTAAAATATACATTACTTACATTATTTCCTTATTGCAATAAACTACAACATATTTTTAGACTAGTTTTTTGATAAAGTTTATTTCAGTCATCCTTATTACACCATTTTACTATTCCAATCAAAATACCAAATTAATTTAACAGAAAAGAAGTAACTAAAAGTATAAGTAGTATAGTTATGAATGAATCTCAACACACTTCAATATTATGATACTGGGTTTTGACCATTTGTCATACAAACCCGTAATTTTCTTTACTCAACGGGCAGAGCTAACTGCTTAAAATTTAAAAACGCTCAATAGGAATAGCAGCTCGCTTTGAGTTAGCCACCGACGACCTATATTATATGATATTACAAGCACATCAACCAGTACTGTCGACAAAGAAATGACAATTGTATTATTACTCTCCTTAAGTATTCAGATGTGGTGAACTTTGTGGCTTGCTGTGCTATCTGTCAAGTTAACAATGCTCAACAATCTAAGGAATGTTACAGAACTTTTCAGACAATATCGATTGACTTAGTCGGGCCTTTGCCACCTTCTACAAAACAACACTTTACTGTAACAGGCACTGTTTTTTCAAAATATTGTTTGATGTTTCCACTTCGGCGAGCTACAGCTGAGTTTGTTAACATTCCATCAGCTTAAGACGATCCCATGTTCATATTGATTACGTAAAGACTCTATCAAACTTAACATAAAAATAATTGTATATAGATTCAATAGAGCTGGATGCGAAAAGCCGAGGACCGAAGTAGATGGCGTGCAATTGGGGAGGCCTATGTCCAGCAGTGGACGAACATGGGCTGATAATGATGATGATGATGATATAGATTCATAAAAGAAATAGAAGCAATAATATCGACCAGCACTGCTGTCACCTGTCAAGCGGCAGGTACACTGCATTAAGCATTCCCCCTAGGACACAAAAAAAGGGGTGGGAATGGACGGCTCGAAACGAACGGCTAGTCCAAGTATTATCCTCTGGCGCTACTAAAAATGTTAGGCGTCCGGAAAATGCGTTATAATTATGCATGTGAGTGGGCGTGACTATTTCTCAAGGGATTTTACTGTCGCCGACAGTAAGTCTTATTATATTATTCCAACAAATTAATATTCAAAATGTATTTTAATTTTATACAAGCACTAGTTACTTCTAGTTTTACCTTGACATAAAATAGTTTGTAAATATGCGAACAGAGAGTGCATCCATTGAATTTATAACATTGAACTTAAAGCCCATGTACCGGTAGTTCGCTTTTACTTTAGCTTGACTAAAGCAATGGAAGTACCGAGCATAACTTAAAACCGAAAAGTCACGTTGTAAAATCAATTCCAGATACAAGAGACAAAAATAAATTTTGTTTGACATTAGAACAAGATCGGTATAAGAGCGAACAGCAAGGTGGCTTTAGACCAAAGGTCGAACTTGGGGACGCGCTAAAATGTCAAACGTTTAGGTGGCACTCAGAAATTCGACGAATATAATGTATGCGATTTTAATGCGTTGATCAAAGAATGATATCTTTGATCAAGGCATTTGAAGGCGGTTCTCTTTTTTAAATTTTTATTTCTTGCATTTTAGTGATATTTTGAGTTTTGGGGTAACAAACATCACGCATACTTAATATGCAAATTTAAGACTTATATGGTTATCTCATAGATACCATTGCCAGATCTGGCAATTTAACCAAATTAAAATGGGACCAAACGGCAAGCACTAGCTTTCAGATAAAGAAAGAATCATCAAAATCGGTCCATCCAGTAAAAATTTATGAGGTAACAAACAAGAAAAAAAAGTCGAATCGAGAACCTCCTCCTTTTTTTTAATCGGTTAAAAAAGAAAACTCAATTCTGAATATCGGGCCCACCTATGCTCATAGCGTCGAAAAACAAAAAGATAAATGCCAGTTATGAGTATCTGCAACAGTTCGTATTAATATAACATGTACCTAGTATGTTAAGTGACATGCAATACTCAATTTCTAATAGCTATCACGCACGATATTGCAATTTTCAGAAAAACGTTATTATAAGTTATAAATATTCTAATGATGTTATTATATTCACAATTTATGACTTCTCATTGTATTGATAGATATACAAATTAAAGTCAATCTCATACTATACAAATAATACACAGATATAATACCGTACCTATATAAAGTGAATTTCACAATCAATGGACCATTAGTTCATTAAAGTTACACGCAGTAAATACATTGTTTATAATATCTACTTACTTAGATACTTATTATAAAATAGCATTCATAACATAAACATTTTTAAATATTAACATTATATTTAATATATTATGGCAAAATAGTATTTATTTATAATATAAAATAACTATGTAACATTGTTTAGTTGCCATATATAGCACTAATTCTATTGTCATTATCATTTACAAAAATAAAGTTGTCTCGGACAATCAAACTTTTTACATGATAGATATAACTTCTCATTTTAAATAACTTTGGAGGTACATAGAACAGCCTTTCGTTTTAAAATATTCACATCTGGAAACATATTAATTTACATATTGTTTAAACCACCATTATTTTGTCCCGATTTTACATTGTCCAAAATTGTATTTACAAATTCTGATGTTTTACCAGCTATCTTCACCTCTGAAAATATAAAACAAACTGCTTAATGCACTGAAGTTGCTGTTGTTGCTAACTGTTTTCTTATGACTCCACCCGCATAAATTATAGCCTATGTCACCCGCGTATGTAGTTTCCGGTAGGTGTTTCGTAAAAGATGTATTTACACCTTATAGTTGTTGAAATAAGACTCAATATAAATTTTAATTGTTGGGTCATTGTTGCAATAGGAAGGTCTACTCCGCACAAACGAAGATTTCATCATGTGCCATATTAGTTGGGCATTGGCAGTTACTAAATCAAATTGCAGTTATTTGTAATAATAAGAAAGTATTTAAAAAAAAAGAAAGCACTAAAAATATCTTACTAGATGGCGACTCTATTAAAAGTTGATTTTTGCAGGAAATGAATAGACCTAAGGTAGTAAATTCCGTTCCTTTTAACTAAGATATTAAAAAGCTGAAAATTGCAAAGTTCGAAACTTATATATCAATACAGATAGGAAAAAGTACAAATAGAATATGAGTTGTTTTATTGAGTTTTGAAATGAATTTACTTTTATACATGAAAGAAAACCAAAAAAGTTGTCATGGAGAGGATCAAGAAGACCGAGAATCAAGAACGTACCGTAGAGACATCTAGTTTGATTTCGGGAACTAATATATATTTTTAAATACTTCTTCATTGTTATGTACCTATTGTTAAAAATATTATACACTTTACTTACCTGTTGCTGTGTTCACTATTTCTTTGATGTGATCTGACCAATCAACATTATTTTGAGGGTTGGTGACCCTGTTGCCTATTATTTGTTTCATTTGATGAATACCACTTAGAAGTCGTTCTGTAAAATAAAGTATTTTTCAAATAATATATTTATGATTAAAAACCCTTTTATCTACAAATTCGGACTTGAAAAATATCTTTATAGAAACTTAAATGTAAGGACTAATATTGCCCAGCACGGATAACTGCTTAGCTAAAATCTATTTTACTGTATTTTAATTAAAACTATTTCTAAAACAAATTTGATATACCCATAGTGTGAGTGGAAACATAAGAAAAAGTACATTATATAAAAAAGTATAATACAACCGATTGTGATTATTGAAATGAATACAACTTACTGTGTTCTTGTTGTAATCCATAGAGTTTAAGTTTATTTGCCTCATGTTGAGCTTTCTTCTTTAATCTGCAAGCTCTTGAAGCAAGTTTATTCTTCTCTTTTCTCGTTTTTGGCCTAATATTAAATGGCAACTCACTAACTGGTATCATATCGTTAATAACTTTACCCAAATTGTCCAGTTCTTTGCCAATAAGATATAATTTCCTTGGATTTGGTGTCAAATCATTTCCATCGCCTTTTCGTGCTTTGCCGCTGAAATTAATTAAAATTATTGAGAAATAATATAAATAACATTATATTGTATGTTGTCCTAAGGCAAGTTAACAGTAGCCGAAACTAGAGATAATATAAAAAAGCTATTAACAAGACAATGCACCTTCTCCGTATTCATTCCGATTCCATTCATAGGGAAAACCTGTGCTCCAGTGGCGACATTAACGATTTTAACTGGTAGAAAAGACCCCGCCTGCCTCTTTGTAAAATAAAAGGGTCACTAAAATATCGTATAATAATTAAAGTATCATTGGTAGATCGTTTAATTCCTCAACTGTAATACTGCAGATTTAACAAACAATATTTTGCACTACCAAATTGTACTTTTTTCTAATGAAAACTCATAGATTTTTAAAATATGTTGTAGTAGAATAATTCAAAATTTCGACTCTTTACTTTCACTTCTACTTGATATGTTGCCAAATTTAAGCATTTTCAAACATCCCAAAAGTTTTGGTAATTGTGGAAGTTGGCCTGGGCTAGTTGGGAGACAAATTGGTTTTTTAATTTTAAAATGTTTGTTATTACAATGTAATTCAACGAACGTTTTTAATTACGTATTTCCAGTATGTTTTTAATTACGTATCAACACTACATTTTTCGCGATAAAACACTTTAATATGGTAATTTATGACAATAATAAGTATAACTAACAACATAATTAGTAATATATAATCATTAAATAGTGATTTACAGGCTATGTTTCCAATAAATTAAATTAAAACAAGAACAAAATATTCACTCAGCAAAACTTCCAAACCGTTGGAAGTTTTCGGCAAAGTTTCATTAGTGAAGGAATCTTCTTGGCAATATTCAAATCTGCCCATAACGTAAAACTTGCAATAATAGCCAGTGAATTCAAGTCCTGGGAAGACAGAATGGTTGACAACACTACCTAAGGCTACAGACTATTGGTAAATTCATCACTGTAAGAATCATGTCCAATTTCAACCTAAATATTAAATATAAGCGGTGTTAAGTGTCTAAATGAATTAAATTAAATAGCCCAATACACGATCAGGTAGTATAAGTGTAATTAAAGATTAAAAATAATTGATAAGGTTAGTAAAATTTTATAACATTGTCTTATACCTACGTTTGTGTCAATTGTTCAATTTTAATTTATAACTATGTTATTTGTTTATTAGGTACATATTAATAAGTCCAAACGTACTTAAAAAACAGTACAATTAGCAAAATAAGCTACATTAAAGGACTTAATTATTTTCACCAAGGTAGTTAAAAATTTGCAAATCATTGTCATAGTTAACCTGTTGACGACAGCCACGTGCCGAAAAATGTACAGATCGAACGACCAATCACAGCGCCTACATTTGCGGAATTCTCAGGGAGCCCATTGGCTGCGTATGCGCCGTCCGCACGGTGGGGGCGATTCCCCCACCCGGCGCGCGGGCGTAAAACGCGCTGTGATTGGTCGGCCCCCGCGCGTCACTAGTAGCTAAGTTAGATGTTAAGTTTAGAATAAGGGTAGGGCCAAATTTGTAAATATTTTGTAGTCAAGTCAAGTCAGTCAAGCAGTATAGTCAGGCAGTAATAAGTAGCCAGTAAGAAGAAAATAAATCATCTATAGAAGAAATTCGTCTTTGTTTTTCACCATCATCAACGGTTAAACAGCAACGCCTACAGTTTGGTCCTTCGAGAAGCCGGATCTAAACACGTATAGAACCTCCGAGATCCAGCCAACAGTGAATCAAGATGGTGCTTACAAGAAGCCAAGACGAAGAAAACCAACGTCGTGTCTTCGACCAGCCGCCGAGATCGCCCTCAAGTACACCGACCGTACGAGGACGCCTCGAGACGGGTAACGCCGGGGAGAGCCTACGCACCGCACCGCAAGTCTCGCAACTAGCGCCTAACGCGAACCGCGCTGGGGCAGACGTTGCCGGAGCACGCGTCGCCTTGGCAGTGACTACGCAGCCGCCGAGCGGAGCGGACGAACGCGCAGCACACCCAACGGACACAGCGGCGACTACTGGCATAACTACATCTGCGATGACGTCATCGGTGCAACCGGCGAGGAGAGTGCACGTCGCGCGTTCGACCCGCTCGGCAGCGAGCAACGCGGCACGCCGGAAGCTACGCATCGAAGCAGAAGAACGACTGGCTGCCATAAGACGGCGAGAACTCGAAATTGAAGCGGACCTCATAAAGAAGACGCTCAATATCGAGTTAGAAACGCTAGACGGAGCAGAGAGCGAACCCGAAGCTGAAGAACCGGCAAATAAATTACAAGATCGAGTGTTCGAGTGGCTCGACGACGCGAACGTCGACCAACAACGGGGGGAGCTCTCAAGGACCGCCGTGGCTGAACCGCCACCTGAACGCGACACGCGACGCCCAGATAGGGAAGAACGAAGACGGTCGTCATCGCGAGGCAGAGGCATCGATCAACTCGCCTCTGTCCTCGAAACCCTCGTGAAGTCACGACCGCCGCCGCGTCAAGCATCGGATCTACCGATATTCTCTGGTTCACCGCTGGAATGGCTACAGTTCGCGACTGCGATGCGAGAAACAACGCGGCTTTACGAATTCACACCTACGGAGAATATGGCAAGACTAAGAAACTGCCTACGTGGAGAAGCTCGGGAAAACGTCGCATCATTGTTGAGCACCGCGACGCACCCCGACGAGATCATGCGAACACTGGAGCAATTCTACGGAAGGCCAGCAAGACTAGTGGACATGGCTTTCGCCGATCTACGGAAGCTGCCTGGACCTACCGCGAACGATCTTAACATGTTTGCGGTGAAGCTACAGAACGTCGTGGCTGTCCTGAGGAACGTGCAGCCAGAGTACCTACTTAACCCACTGCTGACCCGGGAAGTCTTGGACAAGATGCCGAGCTACCTTGTATCGAGTTGGTGCAACTTCGCCGAGTCACAGCCGGGCCCGAACGCCGATCTACTCAAACTTTCATCGTTCCTGATGAAAGAAGCTGACCGCTGCATGCGATACAACTATGTATCGAACCTCACCGCACCCTCCACATCGCAACGAACACGTGAAACGCCTCGCCCCGCCCCCAGACCGGAGGCTAAGAAGAAGACGATGTACGTCGCCACCGAAGAAGCACCGCAGCGCAGATGCCTTTCATGCCAGGAAGCCCACACACTACCTAGCTGCCCAAAGTTCAAGCAGCTAACGTATGATGACCGATGGGAGCTGGTGAAGAAGGAGGGCCTTTGCTTCAAATGCATCGTGGGCCGACACCGTCGATTGAACTGCCGACAGAAGCTCTGCGGAATCAACGGATGCAAGCGACCGCATCACCGACTGTTGCACGCAGATGAGCGTGGAACGACGAACGACGTGGCTACGAGCGCGACCGACTCAAACGCGGGCGCAACGGAACCAGCCACCACCGAAACGACGACGGCTGCCACGACGACAAGCCGCGCCGTCAAATTGAAGATTTGCCCCGTGACAATCACGGGCAAACGTGGGAGCTGCGACACCTACGCACTCTTCGACGAAGGCTCGACGGTCACCTTATTAGACGACGACCTGGCGCGACAGATCGGCGCCGATGGACCGACCGCACAGCTCAACGTCCGAGGAATTAACAAGAAGCAAAATCACGTGCAGAGCCGTCGAGTGAAGATTGGAATAAAAGGAACGCGCAGTGACCAGATCTTCAAAATCAACGCTCGCACCATGGTGGGCCTGGACCTCACGCCGCAATCGATACCGGCGGAGGCGATGAAGCTACGACACCTAAGAGATCTCGACGAGCGAGAAGTCGTATACAAGAATGCGAAGCCTCGCATTTTGATCGGGACGGACAACTGGGAGCTCATAGTGACCCGTGAGCTACGGTCAGGAAAAACCAAGGAACCAGCTGCCTCCAAAACCGAACTCGGATGGGTAATCCACGGGACGGCGCCATCGAGATCGCTTCGCCGCACCGAGGATATCCTACATGTCGTCACGACCGAAGCATCAGACGACCGACTCGAAGAACTCGTGTCGAGACACTTCCGGATTGACTCACTCGGAGTGTCGCTCGACGCATCACACGTTCGCGAAGAGGACAAGCGTGCCGTCTCTACGTTCGAACGCACCGTGAAGAACAAGGACGGTAGATACGAAGTGGGCCTGCCTTGGCGAAACGACGACGCCAAACTGCCACGGAGTTACGACTCAGCACTCCGCCGGCTCACCAATCTAGAGAACAAGCTGAAGAAAGATCCACGCGACATGAAGGAATACCAGCGGAGGATCGACAATCTACTAGAAAAAGGATACGCCGAACCCTGCGACGGCTCCGAGGACGCCAGCCCCGTCGCATGGTACCTGCCGCATTTCGCCGTCAAGAATCCCAATAAGCCCGGGAAGCTGCGACTGGTTTTCGACGCAGCAGCAAGAATTCGAGGTGTCAGCCTGAACGATCACCTACTCGAAGGGCCGGATCTGCTACGATCGCTGCAGACCATTTTGTTCCGGTTCCGAGAGGGCGCATACGCGGTGACAGCTGACATCGAGGAAATGTTCCTGCGGATCAAGATACGCCGCGAGGACCAACCCGCACAGATGTTCCTGTGGCGCGACTGCAGGCAGAATGAACCACCGCGCAAGCTGAAGATGACATCGATGATCTTCGGCGCATCGAGCTCACCGTTCCTCGCACACAGCGTGAGGGACCACAACGCGAGACAGCATGCTGAGACGCACCCTGCAGCACTGCGCGCAATCACCGAAGCGCACTACATGGATGACTTCGTCGACAGCTTCAATGATCCGAGAGAGGCCCACGAAGTCATCACCCAAGTCGACGCAGTGCACCAGAAGGCTGGATTCCACCTGAGGGGATGGAACAGTAACAATAGGAAGCTACTACAAGCCGTGAACCCGGATAGTAGAGCCAAAGGCGGGACGACGACGTTTGGAGACACAGAGAAGACATTGGGCCTGCTTTGGGATGCGAGTACCGATCGGCTGGGCTTCAATACCGCCCTGCC